GCTTCCTGGTTCTAACTTGGAAGTCACCCCAACCTTGCAGGGGCTTGAGAGGGTGCCAAGGCCTCCCCTGCCTGGGCAGTTCACTCCCCACTTAGACTCTCCATGGCCTGTGTTCTTCATGTGGGTGTCCCTGGGATTCGGGGCCATAGTCCGAGTCCCCTGAGGACTACTGAGAGAGGTTCTGGATCTTCCCAGCTGTCCCAGCTGTACTGTTGCAACCCTGTCCCAAGCGAGAAAGTGCCACCAAGGGTCCTCCTGAGAGAGTGTGAGTTCCAGCCACTCTGAACCTCCAGGTGTGACGGAGCAAAGGCTGCTTCTGTGGTCTCCTCTCGGCATGCATTCAGTGGCCTCAGCCTGGGTCCAGTTCTGCTAGTGGACCCCAGAGGTGCCCATCTGAAATGGGAACTGCCAGGGGCAGAGATGAGAAGGAATCGAGTGGTCAGTTTTAGCAACAGGGCACTCCCGGCCTCCACCCCTCATGGTTCCCAGTGACTGGACAAGAGAAACAATCACACTTACACTCTTTGGCCAAACCAGGTGACACGTTGCTTTGGGTGCCGAGTGCGTGGGTGACCAGCTTGTTTTTTGTCTCAAGAGCGCGATGGCACATTGGTAATTAGACATGTGGAGGATGATTTGTACCTCTACTAGGCTATGATTAAGCCAAAATAGGCTCCATTTTTCATGAGCTAAAAAAGCCCTGGGGTTCAGGGCGGAGCCTGGTCTTGGGGCCTGAGTTGGTCACTTCAGTGTGGTCACAAAACGCCCGCCCCCAGTCTGTTCAGGGACCCGGCTCTGAGTGGGCCCAGCAGCTTGAAATGAGCCGGCATGGAGAGAACAGGCCTTGACAGTGGAGTCCTGAGGCTGCAGGAGTGGAGGCCCCACCCCAGCATCTGTGCCGCAGCTCTTGTCTTCAGACTCTCGGAACTGTCACTGGAGACAGAGCCCTCAGCCCAGATCTGACTGTTCTAGAACAGTCTCTGAGAATAGTTGTCCTGGGGAAGTTAGTTAATAAGCTTCCCAGTGAGTGGGCTTCCCTGAACCGCATGTCTGCTGGGGCTGTATAACAGAGGGATGTCTCATAGGCTGTGTCCCATGGAGTCTTCACCTGCCACACATGTTTTCCCAAATGCCAGGCTAGGTCCTGGGCACCCACAGGATTGTGTTCCAGGGGCACAGTGTGAGGGGTGTGGACAGGTATGCCACCAGCAGGGAGCCAGGCCTTGGGGAGAGCTGCCTCTACCTAAGGACAGCGGGGAGAGGTGGATACCCTGATTAGGGTCTGGAGATCGATCAGGAGTTTGTCCTTCTGCAAATGGTGGACAGGTTCCAGATGGGCAAAGACACGGGGGAGGGGGGCTGTGAGGAGGGGTGGAGGGGTCAGAGATGGGGCCCCCAAGGCTGGGCTGGGAGTGTGGGGTTCAGAGATGAGCAGAATCCTTGAGAATGAGTTCAGGCAGGGGTGGGGGGTGAGGGGCACTCCAAACTGCCCCTCTGCTTGTTGATAGAGGCCTCAGCTAGACCAGAGACTTGACTTCTGGGAGGGACCACTGGGCCCAGGTGCTGGACTCAGTCTGGCTGGCTAGAACTCTCCTTTCTCCTCTCCCTGAGAGGCAGGTCTGGTGGCAGCACATCCCAGGGAACTGAGCCCAGAGATCAGAAGGAGGTGAGAGATGCCTGGAGCTGAGGAGAGCGGAGGGATGCTGGAAACAGCCCTACCTCCAGCCAGGCCTCCACACTGCCCAACTGCCCACCAACCTCATGAGCAGGGCATGGGCCCAGGGAGGCTGTTGCAGGCAGACTGGGGATGTGGGCACTCTCTGCGCAATCAGTGGAAGTGTTTGCAGCCCCGTCTCCCGAGTGAGGGCTGGGTGCCTGGGAGACGGTTGGACCCTCGTGTCTGTCCAAGACTCTGATTCAGTCTTACTATGGTAATTCACAGCAATCACAGCCTTTAACTCTGATCACAGTGCAAGCAGACGGCGCCAGCCCAGTGGCCAGGAGCCGGCCAGGGCCCGGGGAGGGGCTGGAGGCAATTGTATGGAGGCAGCGGTGTCTGGGACCTCTGACCATTTCCACTATGGGCACTGCATGGTGAGCCTCCTGGATGTGTGTCCTGGATGAGGGTGAAGATGTTGCTGCTGCTGCTGCTGATAGCAGCTACTGCTTACGTGGCATTTACCATCTTCACAGCCCTTAACCTAAGCTCTTTGTGTAGACAAACACATTTCTCTGTGGCTGGCAAGATAGTCCAGTGGGTAAGAGGCTTACTTTGCATGTGACCAAACTGATCAATCTCCGGAACCCCATATGAACCCCTCAAGCCCTGCCAGGAGTGGTCCCTGAGCACAGAGCCAGGAGTAAGCCCTGAGCATCGCCGGGAGTGGCGCGCGCGCACACACACACACACGCGCGCGCACACACACACACACACACACACACACACACACCCCTCAAAAACCCCAACATGAAAAAAACAAAACCCCCCAACAAAACCAACTCATTTCTCTTCATTGCTATCCTCAGACCTATTTTCTTAAACTGTGGGTCATGAGACATATGGGCTTGCAATGATTTATTGTCAGTAAAAGTTTTGTTTATTGACCTATTTTATATATCTACATATATTTTTATATACCAAGTCACCTAAAAATTTCTCAGGCAAAAGGGTCATGAGTGGAAATAGAAGTCCTGCTTTATCATCCCCATATTCTGGGTGAGGAAAGGAGGTATAGGTCACACAACTGGTAAGAGCCAAGATTGGAACCCAGGCACTTTGCCTTCTAAATTCAGGTTTTATCTGGCTCCTTCCTGCCCCAATCTCCCAGGCTCTGCACCTGGGTTCTCAGCTCCGGGTGCTCTCAGTCTGCCTGTTCCAAGCTGATCACGAGGGAGCTCTTGGCCTCACCAGATCTGCTGTCTGCTGCTGGCAGACAACTCCACTTGTACTGCGAATAAGATGGGGAGACCTGAACTTCAATCTCCCTCCCTTCCTTCCTTCCTTCCTTCCTTCCTTCTCTCTCTTTCTTTTTCTTTCTTTTTCTTTCTCTTTTCCCTTTCTTTCTCTCCCTCTGTCATTTCCTTCCTTCCTTCCTTCCTTCCTTCCTTCCTTCCTTCCTTCCTTCCTCCCTCCCTCCCTCCCTCCATGCAGTGCTGGGGGTTGAACCTGGGCCTCTGTGTGGAGCGGGCCTCAGTGCCTCGAGCTGTCTCTGACTTTGAGGTGCCCCTTGTGAGTGAGTGCTCCCTTTCCTTTGTAGAGTGAGGTCACCTGCATCTCACTGGGAAAACTGCACATCTGAAGGAAGGGGGAGCATTTGGTCAAACGTGTTTTTCTGTTGGGCAGGGAACATTCTTAACTGGGTTTACATGCCAGCTTCCTCAGTCTTAGTAACTATGTGGCTGGGGCAAGTAGCTTGGGATGTTTAAACCTCTGTTCGCTCATCTATTAGGTAGAGCAAATAATAAAACAATCAAAACTCTGTAAGATGGAGCCAAGTAATGGGGGTAATTGTGGGATTGATGAGATGTTACAGGTAAAGCATCCAGCGTGGGGGATGCGATGCCTGTTGAGTAAGATGGGACCATGGTGAGGGCCATCCCCTCTGGGCAAGCCCAGGGAAGGGTAAGAGGATGTGGAAAGAAGCCAGGGATGGAGCACCGGCAGGTGCCAGGTTTCAGAACAGACTTTCTTCCTCCCCCTCCAAGCCCAGGCCTTCCATCATGTAGGGAACGATTTCCTGTCTGCGGCAGCGGCTGTGAGTTCCTCAAGCAGTTACCTTGACCGGGTGAGCTGGTTGAGGACAGCCTGCCAGAAACGTGCTTCCTGCTGAGGAATCTCCTTTGAATTCATAACAGATGCTCCCTGTGGACTCAGAGTCCGAGTCGGGAGATGGTGACTCACACACACCTATGCAGGACTTGCCCCCACCCCCTTGTCTCCGGGAAGGGGAGTGTGAAGAAGAAAGGGCCAGGACCTTATCTGGAACCACACGTTTTTAGAGGGAATGAGCTTCCTGTCACTGAAGCCAACGAGGGCTCAGTCAGACACAGGAAGGAGGATCCATGTCTAGCGGAGGAAGCAGTGGGGTGAAGGGGCTGGTTGATGGAGGGACGCCATCCCCTCAGCTTGGGAGGTGTCCCCGGGAGTGACTCTCGCCCAGACCCCAGCAGTGACCTTCAGAAACACAGTTGCTGGATCAGGGGCAACTTTTCTTCATCCTTGTGCCAGCACTTCAGACTTGGTTCGTGTCTGGCTGTAGTTTGAAAAGTCGGAGGGATGATGCCAAAGAGCATTTCCTGGAGAAGCTGAGACAGACAGCTGAGAAGGAAGGAAACGCTTCTCTGGCAGAGACTGATTTGCAAGCGTGGCCCCACAGTCAGGACCTTCCTGCACCCTGAACTGCGGTCCCCTAAGGCCAGGCCTTGCCATTGATCTCAGTAGCTGAAAGAAAGTTTACTCAGCTCCTGTGGGTTTTTTGCCTGGCCCAAATTTCCACTCCTAGTGGAAGCAGAAATCATCTGGCAGCACTCATTCTGCTGCCATTGCTCCCAGGAAGAAAAGCAGGATTCGGGGCTGGAGCAATAGCACAATGGGTAGTGGCTAGGGCGTTTGCCTCGCATGCAGCTGACCTGGGGTTCAATTCCCAGCATCCCATATGGTCCCCCGAGCACCACCAGGAGTAATTCCTGAGTGCATAGCCAGGAGTGTCCCCTGTGCATCGCCGGATGTGACCCCAAAAGCATAAATAAAAAGAAAAGCAGGATTCTAAGGATTGTCCCCTGTAACACACCCCCTCCCCCAAAAAAGGGAAGGTCAGTGATGCCTTTCCTGCTGGTCTTCCTTTCTGAAAGGAGAACAGAGGTTTGGGGTGTGAGTGGGCCAGAGCCAGGGGGTGGACAGTGCCGCCCTGTGTCATTCCCAAAGCTCCTCTCCCGCCTCACCTGGAGTAGACCGGTCTGCTGTGAAGCCTGAAGACGCTGAGACCCCGTTTCCTCCACAGGAGAACTGTACCGCGTTTCCCTGCGAAGACAGAGGTTCCCGGCCCAGGGGAGCATAGAGATCCATGAAGACAATGAGGTGGGCCGGGTTTCTGAAGGTTTCCTGGTGAGCCCAAAGGCAGCTAAGGCGCAGCCAGTCTCCACCTAGCCTTCCCATTGCTACCCTTGGGCAGGTCCCTTTCCTTCTCTGGCTTCAGGCTCCTCCTTGAATGGGTCTTTGGGAAGCTTTCAAGCAGGGGCGTAGAGGGGCAGGGCACTTGGTGTGGACGCCCAGGATACCTCCTCATGGGGAGGGGAGGCTCCCAGACTTGGCGCTGACGCAGGCTGGGTTCAGTGGCCCTGAGTGCGTGGGAGTCTCCGGATATCCCCCGTTCCATAAGCCTGCTGCTGTCTCTGTTCCCGCTCATGTCCTCTCAGGAAGGCTGTCCTCAGCGTTCTTGCAAGACACATGTGCTCCTGTTGGTGCTGCATGGGGGCAACATCCTGGACACAGGCTCGGGGGACCCCTCCTGCAAGGCAGCTGACATCCACACCTTCAGCTCGGTGCTGGAGAAGGTCCTGCGGGCCCACTTCCCTGCTGCCCTGGGACATATCCTCATCAAGTTCGTGCCCTGCCCTGCCATCTGCTCAGAGGCTTTTGCTCTCATCTCAAAGTAAGTTCCTCTCTCTGTTTCGGGACTGCTGGGACAGGGGACTGACCCTGACTTGTGATGCAGGGTCACTGTAATGCAGACACTGACTTGCTGTTTGGGGTGGCTGGTGTGCAGGTGGTACCTGCTTGGGCTTCTTTGGGATGCCAGGCATCCCTGGTGGGAGGTGTGCCACGAGCACCTGGGCCATGAGCATGATGGCCAAGTCCTCCAGGGCCCGTGGCAGGTCACACCCACTCCCTATACCCAGAGGAGGAAACTGGGACTTGAGAGGTTAAGCAGCAGCTCCACAATTACTTGTAAATGGACCCAGGAGACCAATCCGGGTGGAGTGCTCTAACCAGTGGCTCTGAGCAACCAAGACCTGCAGAGAGCCAGGGAAGACTTCTTGGAGGAGGTAACTTTAAAGTGTTTCCAGAATAGCACAGCAGAGTAGTGTAAGTGGGCCTGGGTTTGAATCCCAGCTTTGGCCTGGGGAAAAGTTGCTCTGCTTCCCTTCCTTTGCTTTCCTCATCTGTAAAAAGGGGGTGATTGTGGTCCTGACGGCTTCCTAGGGCTTCTGCCAGAATGCTGTGAGAATTGTGTGGGTAAGCCTGGCACTGTGGGGGCACAGACAGAGTGCCTGGGGAGTAGCTGCTGCCACTCTCACAGCGGGAATCAGGCAGCAACGCTCCCCTGGGGCTTGTTCTTCATCCAAACTCTCCCTGGTCCCCTAGGATATGCAAAGTCTAAGACAAGGGATCTAAGGTCCTGTGGACCACCTGGGGGAGGTCCTGCCCCCTGTTCCTGTCAAACTAGCTGGATGTGGGAGCCCAGATCTTACACAACCCGAGCAACAATGTGCTGAGCCCCAGGCGAGTCGTGGCGGGTGGCTGGGAGGGTCTGGAGGGAGCCCGAGGCGCCCCCTGGCGAGAGAAAGCAAAACCTCTGCCCTGCTTCTGCCCTGTCTGCTCCCAGGCTGTGCACAGCCAGATCTCTGTCAGGGCTGGAGTGAAGTAGGCGACTGGTCAGTAGTCCCCCAACTTGGCGAATGGCCCATGTCCCTTGGGTGTTCGTGTTCCCCCAAGCAGAGGGTCCGGGCCCTGGGCTGTCTGAGTCTGGAGAGGCAGCCCTGAATATGCGCCTTTGTCTCTGCTCCTGCTGCAGCTTGGCCTGGGATCTGGGGCCATAGAGGAATAGAGTCCAGCAGTGCGGGAGAGGGGCTCCTTCCGAATCACTCTCAGGACCCCCTCCCTCACCTATCCCAGCTTCTCCAAGCCCCAGAACCTCTGCCCAGGCCTCCTCTCGGCCCACAGAAGGTGCAGCTCCTTGAGGGAACTGCATTCCTTCCCGCCTCACCAGACTCATCCATCACCCCTAATCACGGCTGGGAGGAACTTTCTCAGCTCATTAAAGCCTCCCCCTACCGCGGAGCCTGTTTCCTCTCATCTGTGTTCTCGGCAGATGAGGAATGGCTGTCAGCGCCTGGGCCTGCATTTGCTGGTCTCGGCCACCTGTGGCTGCCTGCAGGTCCCAGAGGGCTTCTGAGCAGGCTGAATACCGCGTGCGGTCTCCTGCTTGGCGGGAGGGGCCGAGGCCCTGGGAACAGGCAGAATGAGGGATGACAGCTGCCAGGAGCTGGTCTCCCACAGACCTCAGCAGGCCTGGGAGCAAGAGACTTCCTACTGGGGAGACGGGGAAGTGAGGGCTCAGGTGCTGACACCCCACCAGGAAGCCCTCGGCCCTTCTAGGATCACAGACCTTTCTGCAAAGCCCCCGGAGGGTCACACAGAAGAGGGCAGGCAAGCGTGGTTGTTGGAAGAGACTCCAGGCATGGTAGGGCCATGGGGGTGTCAGTGTAGCCCGGCTCCTTGTCTGTCCACCTGCACTCCCCTCCCTGGGTTCCCAGCTGTGCTTCCTCTCTTATGACTCCTGCCTGGGTCTTCCTGAAGAAACCCCATGCCCAGGGCCTGGCTGCAGGCTGGCACGCACCCCTCCTGAGCCCAGCGGCCTGACTTGACCCCTGTCTGCAGCCTGAACCCCTACAGCCACGACGAGGGTTGTCTGAGCAGCAGCCAGGACCACGTGCCCCTGGCCGCCCTGCCGCTGCTGGCCATCTCCTCCCCGCAATACCAGGAGGCCGTGGCCACCGTCATCGAGCGAGCCAACCAGGTCTACGCAGAGTTCCTCAAGTCCCCCGATGGGATTGGCTTCAGCGGGCAGGTAGGACGGCTGCCCGAGCCTGCCCCCCCCCCCCAGGCATAGGGAGACTGTGGTTTGCAGGGATCCCACCAGGCCGGGAGGGCCCAGAGTTCTGAGCCCCCAGGAGGCCATAACAGCATCAGGTTCTCCCTCACTCTGCAGAGAGGGCACCTCGGACCGACAAGCTGGGGGCCCATGACCATCCCCTGCCTGAATGTGACTCCAGGCCCTGCTCCCCGCTCACACCTGTCTTCTTGATGTCTTCCTCTCCCAGGTGAGCCTCATCGGAGACTGCGTGGGGGGCCTCCTGGGCTTTGATGCCATCTGCTACAGTGCCGGGGGGGCCGGGGAGAGCCCTGGCAGCAGCAGCCGGAAAGGGAGCATCAGCAGCACTCAGGTAGGGCCCAGGTGGTGGGAAAGAGGAAGAGGGCTAGCCCTGGGCACCCCCCCACTCCACCCTGTGGGAGCAGAGCTTCTCAGGGGAGGCGGCATATGGGGGCCACAGATGACAAAGCATTGTTTTACAAGCCTACAAGAGCAGCAAGGTTCGTTATCATAAGTGAGGAAACCGAGGCATGGAACAGGCTGATTCAGGGATCAGAGTCCCGACAGACGGCTGAGCACCTGGGCCATCGGAGATAGTCCTGTGCCGAAAGCACCCCTCAGTCACACTGTGGCTTCTGTTTTCCTTTTGGATGAAGTATTACCCCAAACATCTTGGAGAAAGGAGACTCCCTTGTGCCTGGGGACGGGCAGGGGCTCACCCAGGCCCCAGAGGCCAGTTTCTGCATGTCCTCTGCTTGGCCCCGTAGGATGTGCAGATTCTGGCAGAGGAGGAATGCAGCCTGGCCGACACCAAGCGTCTCAGCAAGAGCAGCATTGACGTCTCTAGTGTGTTGGAGGACGAGGAGCCCAAGAGGCCGTTACCACGGAAACAGAGCGACTCCTCCACCTACGACTGTGAGGCCATCACCCAGCACCATGCCTTCCTCTCCAGGTACCTGCCTCAAGCCCTGCTTCCTTCTGCAGAGGAGCCAAGACCCTAGGTCAGGGCCAGGCGGGAGACCTGCGACCCTCCGCATGTCCAGCCGCAGCGGCCCACCCATAGTGCTGAAATGCTGGGCCAAGGCCATCCCCCACCCCCAGTGGGGGCTTCACTCTGTCCCTGCTCCATTGTAAGTATTGTGAGCTCCCTCTGGTGTTTTTGAAAATATACATCTCACCACCTAGAGGGATCTGCTGGCAACATTTGCTAGTATTTTCCTTCAGTGTATATATATATATTTTTTTTACATACATCTTATAGTTTATACTTTAAAAAGTTCTCTTGTTGTGATTCCCCTCCCCCTACACACAATTCAAAGTATTTAGCACAAATTATTATTATTATCATCATTTTTTTGTGGAGCAGGGAGAAGTTAGGGTGTACACCTAGAGGTGCTCAGGGTTTACTCCTGGCTCTGTGCTCAGTGATCACTCCTGGCGGGGTTTGGGGGACCATATGGGGTGCCAGAGACTTGGCACACATTCCTAATAATATTCATTAGGTGAATAGATGTCTTAATTCCAGTAACTGACTTTTTCCAGTTCCTTGCGGTTGTTAAGTAGCCCTTGAGTAAACATCTCTGTGCATAAACAGTGAAGTATATATGAGGTTATTTCATTCCAATGGATTCCCAGAGGAGGAAGGATTAGGTCAAAGGCACTGCATATTTAATTCTTGGCAATATAAAGAATTTTCCAAAAACAATTCTTTAGAAAAGCAGTTACCTTCTGGTCAAGGTCCTAAGGTTAAAGGTAAACATTTCTGGTTCATCCTTGAAACATCCTTTAAGAAAGCCCCACATTTGGAGAGTCACAAGAAGCTGGAGGCTTTTGGTCTCTGGTCCAGGCCAGCTGGTTTTTCCCCCGGTGCAGGCACAGATGGCTGCTTCTTCAGCAATTAAGTAGTTGGCGTGTGCTGAGGGAGCCCGCGTACATGAAATCTGTATTGCTGAGCAGCAGCGCTCTGGTCCTCGCCAAGATGCTCACGCTGCAAGGCACAGATTGCCTGCATGCACCACCCTCGGACCCTTGGACTCTTGCTCTGGGGGGGGGGCCGGCGGTGGGGGGGGGAAAGAGGGAGAAGGGAGGAAGTGGTGCCCAGTCTTGCTAATTATTTCTAGAATTCCCTTTCTTCTCCAACTTGCGTCTTCTTCAAGCTTGCATTTAGTGCATAGATCACTGCATTGCCCTAAACTGCTAAAAAAAAGAAATGGCCTCTGAAGGTCAGGGAGCCCCCCAGTTTGCCTGCCCGCTCTCAGCTGCCTGTTCTGGGTCCAGGGTTACGCAGTGGACTTGAGCAGTGGGGACCTGACCTGGGAAGGGACGGGTTTCTGAGTCTCACAGGTTTCTCTTGAAGCTCTGCCTCGTCTGTAGGAGAGTGGGAAGTCCAGGCTGTGCACATGGGTGGCAGCAGATCGCCTGGAAGGATGCTTTCTCCAATGGCAGAAGTGCTCTGCCACAACCCCGTCCCGGAGAGGGCCTGGACTTCCGGCTGCCATGCCAGGTGCTTCCCTAACCAGCCTGCTGCATCTTCTTCCTCTGCAGCATCCACTCGAGCATGCTGAAGGATGAGGTGGACCCCCCTGCCACGGGGGGAGCCCAGCTCCCAGAGGTCAGCTTGGGCCGCCTGGACTTTGATGTGTCTGACTTCTTCCTCTTTGGCTCGCCCCTGGGCTTGGTCCTGGCCATGAGGAGGACGGTGCTGCCCGGACTGGATGGTGGGTACAGTGGAGGCTGGGACACAGAGACCTTTGTGGCACTAGGACAGGTCTGGGCCTTCCATAAGGGTGAGCGGGGTGAGACGTGGTGGGGGGGAGGTGAGCGGAGGAGGAAGGAGGTGGGGCGAGGCTGTGGGAGGGAGCCATTCCTTCTCCAGATGGGCAAGGAGAGGCGGTGTGCAAGGACGGTGCTGACTCTGTCCCATGTTCCTGGCCAGTCTGGTCCCAGTTGTCCAGCTCTCATGTCCTGGGAACGAGATGGCCTCAGTGGTTGCCTGATTGTACCTGAGCTCTCCTTCCCTGGTGCCTGGACACAGCCCTGCCACGGCTGGGTCTCACAGCCTGGTCTAGCTCAGTGCCTCTGTCTACGCAGAACCTGCTGCCTTAGCACCTGTCCTGCCTCTAACACACACTGAAGTGGTGTGCACCCGTCCCGGGGCAGCAAGACTTTTGAGGGTCCAAGAGGCTGGAGGCATCTCGGAGACCAGCAGATCAGGGTTCCTCAAACATCTGTTGCGCCAAAGCTCACCAACCTCTGACAGTATGAGCAGATGAAGAGAAAGGGGCTCTGGATACAATGTGTGTGGGGGGCAAACACCCACAACCATCCTTCAGGTTACTAGGCACGCTGGCTCCCTGCGTGCTGGACTGTTCAGCACTGACCTGCAGGGAGAGGGGAGACCCCGGATGGTGAGACCCCTGCGGAGGGGAGGGGTGAGAGGAGGGCTCAGGGCTCAGTGGCCTTCCTAGAGCCAGAGGACAGGGATGCTGGGACTGAGCAGGGGCCAGAGGAAGGGGCCGCTGGCCTGGTTCAGGGACTGAGTGGACTTCACAGGCCAGGTAGCAGCTAAGTGGGGAGGGGAGTTGAAAGGAGTTTGACTGGTGGGGCCAGCAGGAAGGGAGAGCTTGAGAAGGGCCAAAGGAAGCAGCCAGCTGGTGGGCCCCTGCCAGTGTGCTGTGGGGAGCTGATTGGCAAAAGGCCTCACATGCCAGGGCACCCCGATGGCTTTGATCCGGGGACAGAATGGGGTGAGTTAGGGGTGGGGGATCCCAGCTGAGGAGCTGGCTTAGGACCCTGCTCAAGGGAGCCTTCTGGTGCGAAGGGGGCAGGGACAGGGAAGGCTTTTCCCAGCGCCCTCCCCGCCCACCAGCCTTCCAGGTGCGCCCGGCCTGCAGCCAGCTGTACAGCTTCTTCCACTGTGCGGACCCCTCTGCCTCCAGGCTGGAGCCACTGCTGGAGCCCCAGTTCCACCTGGTGCCGCCCGTCAGTGTGCCCCGCTACCAGAGGTTCCCGCTGGGTGATGGACAGTCCCTGCTGCTCGGTAGGCCCCTGGGCTGTGGGGGAGGGCGGGGAGGGTTCTCTGTTCTGGCCCTCTGTGCCAGGCGCCTGGTGAGGTGACCCAGTGCCTGGGAGGAGCTTGTCTTGGGGCTGCTGTGTATGTGTGTGTGTGTGTGTGTGTGTGTGTGTGTGTGCTGGGTGTGTGTATGTGCTCTGTGTGTGTACATGTGTGTGTGTGTGTATGCTGGGTGTGTGTATGTGATCTATGTGTGTGATGTATATATGGGCGGCTGCTGGGTTTATGTGTGTGTGTATGTGTGTGCTGGATGTGTGTATGTGATTTGTGTGTGTGATGTATGTGTGTGGGGGGCTACTGTGCGTGTGTGTTTGTCTGTGATGGGTGTGTGTATGTGCTCTTTGTGTGTGCATGCATGCATCTAGGTATGTGTGTATGGTGGGTGTGTTGGAGGAGTGCTGGGTGTGTGTGTGGGGGGAGGGTTGTCTTCTGCTGTGCTTCACAGAAAAGGACGCTTTTGCCAAGGCATTTGGGTAGGAAGGGAGGAGCTAGAAGAAGGGAATCATCTGGGGGAGGAAATAGTGTTGCCAGGGCAGAGGGTCTGATAAGGTCTGGGGGACTCAGGGCTCTAGTGAGGTGAGACGAGCCTGGGCTGGGGTCACTCCCGGGGGGCTGCACTGGCAGGACCTTGACTCGTGCCCCAGTGGAGTATAGGCTGAGCCTGTTCAGAGATCTGGACTGGATTTTGGGGTTCTCTGTGTTTGTGGATCCTTCAGAATCAAAATCTAGCACCACACTCCTGCTCCTTCAGTGGAAACAGTTCTCAGGTCTTGCTTTGTCGGGAGCTTCCAAGGAAGGAAGAGGTCCTAAAGCCTCTTTGCCATCCTGACGTGTGTCCCAGAGGTGCCCCTTGTTCTCAGGGGCTTCCTAACTTCCAGAAGATTCTCCATTTGCCTGGAGGCTCAAATACCAGCCTTCAGGGCTCAGGAGAGGAGCCTGTGGTTATGGGCCACCTCATGATCTCTGCCAGTGCTTTGGTGACAGTCTCTGAAGGCAATGTCAGCAACTCAGATGGGGGCGAGGGCGGAGGCGGGGGTAAAGGAGCAGGCACCCTGGGTCATGCCAGCACAACCCACAGCTTAGGGAGGTGAAACCTGACAGTTGACTGTGGTGAAGTCCTCAGCACAGGTTGGGGATGAGGAGGGGGCTGGGCACAGGGTGGGGGTGAGGAGGGGCCTGAGTCACAGGGTGGGATTGAGGAGGGGGCTGGATCACAGGGTGGGGATGAGGAGGGGCCTGGGTCACAGGGTGGGATTGAGGAGGGGGCTGGGTCACAGGGTGGGGGTGGTGAGGAGGGGCCTGGGTCACAGGGTGGGATTGAGGAGGGGGCTGGGCACAGGGTGGGGATGTGGAGGGGGCTGGGCGCAGGGTGGGGGTGAGGAGGGGGCTGGGTTGCAGGGTGGGGGTGAGGAGGGGGCTGGGCACAGGGTGGGGATGTGAAGGGGGCTGGGTTGCAGGGTGGGGATGTGGAGGGGGCTGGGTTGCAGGGTGGGGGTGAGGAGGGGCCTGGGTTGCAGTGTGGGGGTGAGGAGGGGCCTGGGTCACAGGGTGGGGATGAGGAGGGGCCTGGGTCACAGGGTGGGATTGAGGAGGGGGCTGGGTCACAGGGTGGGGGTGGTGAGGAGGGGCCTGGGTCACAGGGTGGGGGTGAGGAGGGGGCTGGGCACAAGGTGGGGATGTGGAGGGGGCTGGGTTGTGGGTGGGGGTGGGGAGGGGGCTGGGTTGCAGGGTGGGAGTGAGGAGGGGACTGGGCACAGGGTGGGGATGTGGAGGGGGCTGGGTTGCAGGGTGGGAATGAGGAGGGGGCTGGGTGCAGGGTGGGAATGAGGAGGGGGTGAGGAGGGGCCTGGGTTGCGGGGTGGGGGTGAGGAGGGGGCTGGGCGCAGGGTGGGGATGTGGAGGGGGCTGGGTTGCAGAGTGGGGATGTGGAGGGGGCTGGGTACAGGGTGGGAGTGAGGAGGGGACTGGGCACAGGGTGGGGATGTGGAGGGGGCTGGGTTGCAGGGTGGGAATGAGGAGGGGGCTGGGTGCAGGGTGGGGGTGAGGAGGGGCCTGGGCACAGGGTGGGGATGTGGAGGGGGCTGGGTTGCAGGGTGGGAATGAGGAGGGGGCTGGGTGCAGGGTGGGGGTGAGGAGGGGCCTGGGTTGCGGGGTGGGGGTGAGGAGGGGGCTGGGCGCAGGGTGGGGATGTGGAGGGGGCTGGGTTGCAGAGTGGGGATGTGGAGGGGGCTGGGCACAGGGTGGGGGTGAGGAGGGGGCTGGGTTGCAAGGTGGGGGTGAGGAGGGGCCTGGGTCACAGGGTGGGATTGAGGAGGGGCCTGGGTCACAGGGTGGGATTGAGGAGGGGGCTGGGTCACAGGGTGGGGGTGAGGAGGGGGCTGGGTCACAGGGTGGGGGTGAGGAGGGGGCTGGGCACAGGGTGGGGATGTGGAGGGGGCTGGGTTGCAGAGTGGGGATGTGGAGGGGGCTGGGCACAGGGTGGGGGTGAGGAGGGGGCTGGGTTGCAAGGTGGGGGTGAGGAGGGGGCTGGGTCGCAAGGTGGGGGTGAGGAGGGGCCTGGGTCACAGGGTGGGATTGAGGAGGGGCCTGGGTCACAGGGTGGGATTGAGGAGGGGGCTGGGTCACAGGGTGGGGGTGAGGAGGGGACTGGGCACAGGGTGGGGATGTGGAGGGGGCTGGGTGCAGGGTGGGGATGAGGAGGGGGCTGGGTGCAGGGTGGGGGTGAGATGGGGCCTGGGTTGCAGGGTGGGGGTGAGGAGGGGGCTGGGTCCCCCTATAGGGGCAGCTCTCGGGGCTGGACTGCTTGGCCCTGACTGTGAAATTGCCCCCCAGCGGATGCCCTGCACACCCACAGCGCCCTCTTCCTGGAGGGCAGCGCCCGCGGCAGCCCCCCCCTTCTGGACGCCCCTGCCTCCCCCCCTCCGGCCCCGAGGTCCCAGCGCCCGGGGCGCAGGCTGAGCCAGGGCAGCTCCCACAGCAACAGCTCCGAGTCCTCCGACAGCCTGGCCCCCGTGGGCGCCTCCCGCAGTGAGTGGGGGTCCCCCAGGCCCTGCCCAGGCCACGGGGGTGGGAGAAGGAAATCGAGAGAAACTGACTCCGGACAGGGAGGTCCTCAGTCTAACCTCGACCTGGCCATGACCCTCAGGCCAAGACTGAGCAGTGGTCTCTGGCCTCCAGCCACGGGCAGTCCCTGCCGAGCAGCACCCCAGGGTGCAGGACAGTGAGACTCCACGTCCCCCAACCCCAACCCAGGCTTCCCTGGGGCCATTTTGCAGGATGGGACCTAGAGGACCGCAGGGGTGGGAAGATATGGGGGCAGGTCCTCCCGGAGCTCATGGTGAGCTGGCAGCTCTAGACCCAGATTTGTGCCCCCTGGGCCTGGGGGCTTCATGTTGCCCTAGTTGAGCCACAGACTGCCCACGCCATCCTCATTCCCCTCTCACGCCTGCAGTCACAGCCAAGTGGTGGGGCACCAAGCGCATCGACTACGCCCTGTACTGCCCCGACGTGCTCACGGCCTTCCCCACGGTGGCCCTGCCCCACCTCTTCCACGCCAGCTACTGGGAGTCCACAGACGTGGTGGCCTTCATATTGAGACAGGTACTGCTGCCCCTTCCGAGTGCAGCCCTGCTTCCCCCTGCACCTGCAGAAGGGGCCCACCCTGCAAGTCTGCTCCCACATGGGGGACACGGTCAGACAGCAGGTGTCAGGGACATGCTGGGGACACAGTCAGATAGCAGTTGTCAGGGAGACACTGGGGACACAGACAGCGGGTGTCAGGGACACGCTGGGGACACGGTCAGATGGTAGGTGTCAGGGATACGCTGGGGACCGGGTTGGCAGGTATCAGGGAGACACTGGGGGCATGGTCAGACAGCGGGTGTCAGGGAGACACTGGCTTCTGGCTAATGGCCTGGTGCTTTCTAGAAAATTAAATAGGAACCAGCAGGTGACAGTCGCCACCTTTCTGCCAGAGACTGACAGGCTGAGTGATTGCTCCCCTGAGGCAGAGTAGAGAGGTCTTGTGGTTAAGAGGTGAAGGGTGAAGACAGGGTCAAGGGTGATTTTCTACTGGGTGCAAGGAGGAGCTGTTATGGGTGATGAACAGGGAGAGACACTAGTGGACTGTGTTTATTTATGTATTTATTTTGATTGGGTTCACACCTTGCAGTGCTCAGGAGTCACTCCTGGTGAGCTCAGGGGTCATATGGGATGCCAGGGCATGAACCCAGGCAAGGCAAGAGCCCTAACTGCTGTGCTGTCTTTCTCACCCTGAGCAGTGTGTAGAGCCAAAGGCCACTGTGAGGCAAACATAGGAGCCCCGCAGCAAGATGGCAGTTGGGCGCTGAGGGCTGGGCACAGCATTGGCGTTGTGGTGACAAGACATGCTGATGTGAAGTAAGGAGAGGCCCAAGCATCTGCGGCAGTGCCGTTCACTGGGACAGTAGGGCTGGGCTGAGGGAAGCCAGGCTTGGGACCTGGGGTGCACGAGACACCTGTTCGGGGCTGAGGAGAGTCAGGAGTTGAAGGGTCACTGTCAGGATCAGCAGGATCCTGCCCTTTGGGGCTAGGCTGGCATGCGAAGACAAGGATGCAAGGAGGCCAGGGTCTGAGGACACGGCGAGGCACCCCAGAGGAGACTGGGGTAACCCAGAAAGGGCAGCTGGAGCGGACCTCTGAGGTGAGCGGCAGGGACATCAGGGCCATGAGAAACACAGGGCAGTGGGTAGGCAGCAGAGGGGTGCCTGGGGAGTATTGCCATCAGACAGCAGAGAAATGCAAAGATAGTACTGAGAGTAAGGAGCTTGCTTTGCATGCAGCCAGCCCTGGTTCAATCCCTGGCACCCCATGTGGTGCCCTGAGACTGCTAGGAATAAACTATGAGCACAGCTGGTGTGACCCCAAAACCAATAAATAAAGATGGTGCTGCCTCTGTGCATTTGGATCCTTAGAAGAATGACCCAGTGGAGAGGGAATTGACAGTACAGGACTGAGGGGGCCACCTAGAGGGGCATCATGCCTGAATAAGATGGGCAGCAGAGGAGGCCACAGCTAGCCCTGGGCAGGGGATATGGGTGGAGACGATTCCAGGGCGGAGCTGGTGGGAGACTGTGACTCCAGCTGTCCAGACAGGCAGGCAGGAAGGGCCCGGAGCTGCCAGCGTTTGGTGGAAGTTGGGGGGGAGTGTGGAAGGTTCCAGGCTGGGAGGTGGGAAGGCAGAGGGAGGGCCTGGCTGGCCAAAGCTGGGGACCCTGACAGCCTGGGTAGGACAGAGAGAGACCTTGCAAGGCCACAGCCCTGCCCTGCCATTTCCCAGGTGATGCGCTATGAGAGCGTGAACGTCAAGGAGAGTGCGGGCTTGGATCCCGCGGCGCTCAGCCCTGCCAACCCCCGAGAGAAGTGGCTTCGCAAGAGGACCCAGGTCAAGCTCCGGGTACGTGTGACAGACTGGGCCCTGGCGGGGGCAGAGAAATGCCCTTGGGGGCTGGGAGGCACCCCTCCACCAAAACTTAGCCCTCACAAGTGCTGGGGCTCCTGCCCAGGTGAGGCTCACTGGGCAGCAGCAGGGCTGGTGGTCAGGGCCCATGGGAGAGGGCAGAGAGGATGCCGGCCTCCTGGCCCCACTGAGAACCAACAGCCAGGGCCAGGACACTGAGGACAGTGAGGAGAATCCAGCTCTGGAGAATCTTCTAGAACTAACTGCAGCTGTGGACGGGAACTGGTACACAGGTTCTGTGGGGCTCACCGTTGGCTGTGACTGGGTGGGACTTGCTGTGAGAAGGGGAGGCCCCTCAGGAAGAAGGTGATGCCCCTGCAGAGCTGGCCAGGAAGTACCAGAAGAGCAGCAGCAGGACATTGGGTAGAAAGGTTGCCCAGGGAAGGCTTGGCTGCCCCTGAAGGGCAGTGCCACAGGGACACATCTTGAACGTGGCAGGTCCTGACGTGGCAGGGCCCTTCCCTCCAGCCTACCCAAAGCCCAGTAGGATGGCTAAGCAAGGTCACGCACAGCTGCAGAGGCGGAGCTGGTCTTTGTCTTTCCAGAACGTCACTGCTAACCACCGAGCCAATGACGTCATTGCTGCTGAGGATGGGCCCCAGGTCCTGGTGGGCCGATTCATGTACGGGCCGCTCGACATGGTTGCTCTGACTGGAGAGAAGGTACTGGGCCCTCAGAAGCCCCTGGTCCTGGGGTAGGGCGTCTCAGGAGGCCCACTTAGCGTGGCTCAAGGAACAGGGCAGATTGGGATGGGGGAACAGAACAGCAGGGAGTGTCCAAGGAAGGGTAGGAAGCCGGCATATGTGCAGAGGAGAGAGGAAATGGCATCACACAAGACCCTGTGCTAGCTGTCTGGATAGAGAGCTCAGCGAATGAGCCCCATGCCAAGGGTACAGCCCCCAGCCTTCAGCGAGCCCCTGGCCTCTTAATTGCTGTAGGTGGACATCCTGGTGATGGCAGAGCCGTCCTCAGGCTGCTGGGTCCACCTGGACACGGAGATCACCAATAGCAGTGGCCGTATCACCTACAGTGTGCCACGGCCCCGACGACTGGGTGTCGGCGTCTACCCGGTGAAGATGGTTGTCAGGTAGGATGGGGCAGCCTCGGGCTGGGGAGATAGTGCAGCTGGTAGGTGCTGACCTTGCTGGCTGCTGTCCTGGGCTCCATCCTTGGCACCCCCTGTGAGACCCCAGGCTCCACCAGGAGTGATCCCTAAGCACTGTAGGGTGTGGCCCCAAACCAAAGTGAAACAAAGATAGAGTGGTCTACCATGCTCTCAGCCCTCCAAGAAGAAGTGGTCCTAGGAGAGCTCATTTGGACCACCCCTGTCTGCCTGGAGCAGGGGAAGCTGAGGAGCAGACACCACCCACACGCCCAGACCCTGACCCCAGATGCAGCTGACCTCTGACCTTAGACAGTATCTACACAGCTGACCACAGACAGTACCTTTCAGGGGCGACCAGACCTGGGCCATGAGCTACCTCACAGTGCTGCCTCGGGGCATGGAGTGCGTGGTGTTCAGTATCGATGGCTCCTTCGCAGCTAGCGTGTCCATCATGGGGAGTGACCCCAAGGTTCGGCCAGGGGCAGTGGATGTTGTCCGGTGAGTACAGCCCCCCTGGAGCCCAAGGTCCTGGGGTGGAAGGAACTTGTGTTTCCTGTTATCCTTTAGGGACTCTGCTTGGCTTCGCTGGAACTGTGACTTCCCTTCCAGTTGAAACTTATTGAGGGAGGTCCAGGAGAACTCCTCCCTTTTGTAGCCTTTCCTCCACCCCCCATACCCACACTGAGCACTCTGGGCGGGGCTTAAGCCTTCTCTTCCTGCTCTTCACCCTCTTACCAGCAGGGGAAGTCCAAATGGCTCCAAATAAAAATTCACAACTCTCCTCTTTGAATTGGTGGGGTTCTATGAGGAAGTGCCCTTCTTGCTTGGCGGTCTCTCTAACAGCTGCAGTCAGAGGGTGGCCAGGTTGGTGTCATCAAAGGCTCCACTGGGCTGGCTGCTCCAGTGGCTTCTGATATCAGACTCAGATCTCTTGTGCCTTGGCTGGGAGCTCACTCCACGTGACCGTGCCACGTGCAGGCCTGGTGAACTCCACTGAGTTAACTTTTTTCCATGGTGGCTTTCTCTGATCCCTAGAGATGCAGGTGGAAACTTCCAAACTTCTTAGTGTTCTCTCTGGGAATCATGTCCTTCCTACCTCTTTCCCCCTGCAGGATTAGCCCTGAGCCAAGAGGCATGGAGGTCATATGAAGCTGGGAAGACTGGGACTAGACTGGGCTATCGTTTGAGATCAGTAATATGCCATGCTGATGGAGAGAAGGGACCGCTACATCTGTGGGCAGAGGCATAGCCAGCTTCTGGGAGTAATGGAATTTGAGTTAGCCGTTGCAGGACAAGCACGCTTTACATAAGCAGTGCATGGCTTTGAACAAAGATTAGCAGATGCAGAGAGACAGATGCAAACTGACCTTGGTAGACTAAGAAAGTGGGTCTGGGTGTGTGGGTCAGAGCAGAGCACATGTGGGGAATGTATGGGATAAGTTGGGAGCAGCTGAATTTGGGAGTGCAGGTAAGGACAGGGCAGGAAAGAGCGCCGTGGGATTATTTTGCTGCTAAGAGGACTGCATGGGGACTTTCCAATAGAAAATTCCTCTCTGCCTGCTGGCTTCCTCCCTGTCTCCCTTCACCCTTTCACCCTTTCTTGAGGCTGATTCCGGGCCAGGATTCATGGAGATGCTGATGCAGAAGGAGGAAAGTCACAGCCCAGTGGGAAAACAAGGCCTAGACATGAGGAACCATTACCCAGGACTCAAGGGATCAAAGTCCCCAAATGGGACCAACCCCTGGTCCTGGGAGTTCTTAGGACTGGCTCTGGGGTCTTCCTTGCCTCCCTCACACTGTGGGGAGAGGACTACTGACCTCAAGATGCCCAGGCTCTGGACTGGCTCAGGCTCATCTTGGGAGTCCATCTCTCTCTTGCAAGTCAAGTCATTTATGCCCTTTGTAACGTCCTCTCTAGACCATGGGAAGCCAGGGTACCCTCTCCTAGTAGGGAAAGAAGGAGTGGGCCTTCCTCTCTGGGGAGCCATTGGGAGCCACCTCTCACATGAGCTCCTGGGGCCTTTGCGGTTTTGGTGGATCACCGGAAGCTGCTTTACTGAAACACAGATCATGAGATCTCAGGTCAGAACTAACCAGAATTCTTGGTGGAGATGACTGAGCCTGTGCATTGCTATCAAACCTCCCAGAATGCTTCACTTATCTTTCAGGCTCGGAGACTCCCAGCAATGGTAGCCATTTGGTGGCTAGTGTCCCTAAGGCTCCACGTAGGCCTGGGACACTGCTCTCTTAAGGCAAGGACTCCTTGTATGTGATGGGAAAATAGTTTCTGCAGTGGGTGGGAGCACAGAGTGATTTCCTAGAGGGTCCCTCTACAGGGAGACCTCAAAAGTCAGGAACAGAGCATAAGGAGATGACCCTTTGGGTGCTGCAGAAGCAGCTGGCCAGAGTGGCAGAGCAGCTCTGTGTGGCTGACAAGGCAAGCTCCAGGCATGCAGACTCGGGCCCTGGGGCATCAGGACCACATCCAGGCAAAGGATGTGGGTCTATAGGCACCACCAGGGAAACCACACTAGGAAGGAGAAGCACTTTCACACCAGGTATTTGGCAGCTTCATTTATCTATGGGGGGTGTTATTCCTCCTATTTTGCACACAGGTCCCTTCAGGAAGCTGTGTAGCCCAGATTCAGTTGGAGAGGGGGGCTGGAGGGATGGGGACCTCCTCCGAGAGACGGAGCTCAGTGGGTGAAGGGTGAGGTGGGGGTCAGGAGCAAGATCCCACCTGTGAGGAAGCCAGGTTGATCATGGCCTGAAAGAAAAAAAGGATGGGATCAGGACCGAGAGCCATCACAGCTAGTTTATCTCAGGCTCCAGAAACTTCTGTGATGACAGCAGCAGCAGGAAGGGGACGCAAGAGTGGGCAGGAGCGGGATGTCAGCTCGGTTGTGAGTCTGTAGCACCTGACAACCATCCCGAGAAATGTCCAGCATGCATGGAGATCCCCTCCCTTCCCCTAACACTGTCTGAAAAATCTCCAGCCTCTCAGGAAGGGAGCAGATGGGGAGGCGGGACTGGGAGTGACTTGACGCCCCCACCCCCATGCCGTCTTGCAGGCACTGGCAGGACCTGGGCTACATGATCCTGTATATCACGGGGCGGCCGGACATGCAGAAGCAGCGGGTGGTGTCTTGGCTGGCTCAGCACAATTTCCCCCAGGGCATGATCTTCTTCTCTGATGGGCTAGTACACGACCCATTGCGCCAGAAGGCCATCTTTCTCCGCAACCTCGTGCAGGAGGTGAGTGACTGGTCTGTGGCGGTGAGTGGTCAGGGGCTGGGCAAGACTCTAGGACCCCCTTCCACTTGTCCTCTCAGTACTGGACAGAGGAGGAGGCTCACCTCCATACCCCAAATCCTCCCCGTGCAAGGCCATGCTGTTCACAGTGCGCCCTCCTGGCCCACCAGCCTGGGTTTCCTGGTGGGTTTTAGCCTTATGGCATCTGCCCACGACCTCAGCCCAAGATGTTCATTTTTCACCTCCTGACCCTGCATACAAACTCTTCTGTCTACCTCTGGTTATTTGTTCAAAACCATTTGAGTGCCTTTTGCTTTGGTGTGGGTTAAAGATAAATAGAAGAGGGTCATGATCTGGGCTTTGACCCTGAGTCATGCTTTTACAACGTGCTCCTCCAGGACACGCATTTCTGCCTTACCAGCCCCTCACCCCAACTGCCCCAGTTCATGAGAAAGGCAGATCACTGCAAATGTACATTCCAGTCCCTAGCTCAAAGCTACCGAGCCAGAAACTCTGAGGTGGAGCCCAGCGGCGAGTTTTGACCAGGAGCTTCTGGTGCTTACTGGCAGTTTGGAGATACAGTGTGGAGAACCTCTGATGGAGAGCGGGACTCACACCCCGAAGCCCAGGGCTAAAGCTGGCCTGCAGCTAGCTTTGATATGACCTGTGAGCTCAAAGTGGCTTTATATTTTTAAGTTGTGGGAAGAATCATTTCTTGATGTGAAAATGATTTGCGACCCTGGCTACAGTGTCCATAAATGCAGCCTCCTGGGGACACGGTCATTACGAGACCCCCATTACAGTGTCCATAGACACAGCCTCCTGGGGACGTGGCCACACCCCTTTGCTTCTGGGCTGTCTGGCTGCTTTCTAGTGGAGGGGAACTGCGAAGCAGTTGTGAGAGAGCTGATGTATTTACTATCTGGACTTTCACTAAGCATCAGCTGGCTAGAGGCAGAGAAATGTGTAAATGATGATTTACAGGCATGAGATCAGGAAAGACCTTCCTGGAAAACAGAGGAGAAAGGACCTGGCTCTCTCTGGGGAGGCTGGGAAGGTGGCAGCTTTGGAGCTGAGTCTTGAAGCAAAAGTATGAGTGTTGCAGGTGGTCAGAAAGGCAGCATAGGCAAAGGTAGGGGAAAACCTGGGATTTTCTCGGAGCTATCAGGGTTCTGGTGTGGGGGTATGCAGGATCAGGTCCAGATCATGGGAGATGAGGCCCCGAAAGCCTTGGAAACCAGGCCCAGATCTCTCTCCAGCCAGGATTGGGAAATCACAGAAGAGCTTAAAGCAGGAGAGAGAGAGACTGAGAATGTGTCCTGTTGGAGCTGCAGTGTTCAGTCTGGTTGGTGGCTGCGTGGATAAAAAGATTGGCAGGGGAGCAGTTAGAAGCTTCTACCCAAGCAAACGACAGACGACCAGAAACCGGGTGGTCGCCACGGGATGGAGTGAGCAGCAAGGGCAGATGTGAGGATGCAGGGGTAGAACTGTCAGGACTCGTGAGAGTTTGTTTACTGCAGACAGTGAGGACTACTGCAGTGTCCGTCGAATCTGCCTCCACAGAGGCCCCATCGGTGTCTCTGATCAGCGAATCTCCAGCGGCCGGGCAATGAGAGCACATGGACTCAGTAAGCCTCGGGAGAGTGAACAGTCAAGTGGCACAGGAGGGAGACAAGCTGGAGGAGGAGGTGCTCAGCTGCGACAGCAGGAAGCCGCCCGGGAGGGGTTGGAGAAGAGGAAGTGAGAGCGGGAAGCGGGTCCCCAGGGAGGAGAGAGCCCGAGAGCCAGGCAGCTTCCAGGGCTCAGAGAGGAGGTGTGGGAGAGTGGGATGATCCTGAGGGATGGAGGATTTGGTGAGAACAGGACACTCTGGGGACAGAGGAACAGGGCAGGTGGGTGTCAGTGTGGAGGGGCTTGTGGGGAGGGGGTGGGTTCACTCCCACCTGATGACCGAAAGTGGGAGGAGATGGGGCCAATTAGGAGGGGCATGGGCCTGCAGGTAGAGGTGAAGGGCCAGTGAGGAATTAAGGGACCAGTGAAGAGAGGGCAGGAGCTGAAGGCTGAGATACCCTCAGGGCTGAGCGGGGGCCAGGAAGGGAAGGAAGATGTGGCATAAGGCGACAGGGATATGGTTCAAGTGGTGATCACCCGCCTAGCATGAGAAACCCTGTCACCCCAATGTCACCTGTCCTTCTACTCTACCAGCACTGTTGGTGTTACTCTAGTGGCCCCAGGTTGCACACATCATTGGGCCTGACTGCTGAATTGTCAATTCTGCACCACTGGGTTGAGCAAGTATCACTGGGAGTGGTCCTGTTCCTCCACCACTGGGGAGTGGTCCCTGCAAAACTGGGAAAGGTATTTTGGGGTCAGAATAACGAGGCAGGATAGGACTTGCATAATTTTGTGTTTCCCAGCAACTTTTGGCAGGCAGCACATACACACAGAGGCGGTGGGTCATGATGGACGTTTTCCAAGGTTGAGGTTTGGACAAGGGGTATGGGAGGATGAGGGGTGGCAGTGTGGAACTGGAGGTGGAGGCCAGAGACCCCCAGGAGGCCACAGGGAATCAGATGGGATGGAGAGGAGCTGATTTCATGTGCCAGGCTTGGAGAGCAGCTGGGTGAGGGCAGCGGGGCCACGGGTCCAGGGTTAAGAGGGGGACAGGGCTGGCCTTAGTCCTGGATATGATGACTCCGACTTTAAAGAAGCCAAGAGACAGAAGGGGTCGGCAGGTTATCTATGTGGGAGGAAGTGGGTGCCTGTGATGACAGATTCAGGAGGAAGGCAGGCTGTGAGCTGGACCAGAAGATTCCAGTAAACTTGGGGCAGTGGTGGGAAGAGGCGAAAGTGAAAGGCTGAAAGTGAGGGGCAGCTGGATAAGGGACTTCTCAAAGAAGGGGGTGACTTCATCCTGGCAGTTGAGCCAAGTGAAGGTAAAGGGTGCCCCAGAGTGAGGGCTCCTGGAGGCTATCGGAGATCTGGTCTGGAGCAGGAGACGGAGTTCCCTTGCGCTGCATGCCAATGTGCTGTGTTTCAGTGCTTCATCAAAATCAGCGCAGCCTATGGCTCCACGAAGGACATCTCTGTCTACAGTGTGCTGGGTCTGCCACCCTCCCAGATCTTCATTGTGGGCCGGCCCACCAAGAAGTACCAAACGCAGTGCCAGGTGGGTAGAGGGCATCCACCCACCACACTTTGTTGTTGTGCCACATCCACCATTGCTCAGAAATCACTCCTGTCAGCGTTCCGGGAACCATATGGGATACTGGGAATTACATCCAGGGTGGCGGCATGGAAGGCCTCTCTGTACTGTTACTCCGGCCACTTTACCCAAAAACACTTCGCATGGCAAGTGTGAGGGCACAGTGGGAGGGACTGGCAAGATCAGCGGTGAGGGCCAGAGCCTAAGCCCGCAGGGTGGAGGCTGACATTTGGGAATTTGAGTGGTGACAAGGATGGGCGCTCTAGCCCATGAAGAATCAGAGAATTTGGGGGCGACCAAGAGGGCCCGGGAAGGGCCTCAAATGGCCATTGCGGGGCTGGGGGACCCGGGGCCTCACGGGGTCAGCGGGCTCCCCTGGCTTCCCCCCACCGCTTGAGAGACCGGGAGCCCAGGGAAGGTGACTGCGGGCGGCGCGGGGCGCAGGGCCCACTGACCACCGTCCCTCCCCCGCAGTTCCTGAGCGAGGGCTACGCCGCACACCTGGCGGCGCTGGAGGCCAGCCACCGCGCGCGCCCCAAGAACAACTCGCGCCTGATCCCGCGCAAGGGCAGCTTCGGCCTCCACGCGCAGCCCGAGTTCCTGCGCAAGCGCAACCACCTGCGCAGGACCATGTCGGTGCAGCAGCCTGACCCGCCCGCCAACCCCAAGCCCGAGCGGGCCCAGAGCCAGCCCGAGTCCGACAAGGACCACGAGCGGCCCCTGCCCGCGCTCAGCTGGGCCCGGGGCACCCCCAGGTTCGAGTCGGCGCCCTGAGGGCCAGGCTGGCACAGAGCAGGGGCCCTCTCCCCGACAGGCCTTTTCCTGCTTCCCCCCTGCCCCACCGTGTCTGTCCAGCAGTGTCCTACGAGAGTGGGGAGGGAGCCTGCCGGCCCTGGGGGACCCCCGGGACTGTGAGCGGTGAGACGGGGGTCTCTGCGCAGCTGCGCTGGTCCCCGCAGGCCTGCCACCGCCAGCCCCAGCAGGATGGTGTCTGCGTGACGCTGGGCTCAGCTCTGTCGGCGGGAACGCGCGCCTGTGTTCAGGTCACAGGCCTCGGCATGGCGCCAGGCTGGCCCACCAGGAGGCGCCCTGGCCACGGGCCACAGCTGCTGGCCTACAGCCTCTCAGCTGCCGGTGGAGTGGCAGGGGCATTTGTGCCCGCCCTCCCGGTAGCATCATGGCCCATCCTATTGGGCCTGGCTCTCCTGTGGCCAGGGGCCACTATCTGGGAGTGGGCATGTGCCCGGGGCCCCTCAGACGTCCAGAGTCCTGGGCCCCCCACCTCTGGGAGGGGTCTGGTGCTGATGGTCTCTCCTCCTACAGATGTCATTGTTTCCCTCTTGTCCAGTGTTCTGGGGACAGGCCTTCCTCTTCTGGGGACCCTGCCTGGTGCCCTCCCCCGCGAGGTGTTGGCTTTAGGGTACCTTTGAGCCACTGCTTGCTCCTCTGGGCCCCGGCTTCCTAAACAGTGGGTGGGGTCTCCCTTGAGCAGATCCCTGTAAGGTCAGGCTTCTGCGCTGACCTGCCCTTCTGCCCTGGACACTTTCTGGGCCCTGAGTACCCTCAGACCAACCTGGACTTCACCAGTCCGAGAGGGTCTGAGTGGGCGGGAGGAGCAGGGAAGGGATCTCTGCTCCACAGGGAGGCTGGCTTGGCCCTGGCACCCAAACCTGGGCAGAAACAGGAGTCCACACAAAGCTGCTCAGATGAATTGCTCCCTGTGGGGTGCTGGAAGGCTGAGCGCTGAGACCCCAGGGTTCAGGGGGCTCGTGTAAGTTTGGCTCAAACTGTTGTTCTCCTCCTTTCCCTCTCCCATCCAGCTTGGTTTGTGTCCATCTCTGCCCTGAGGTTGGCAGGGCCTGGCTCTCCAGGGACCCTCAAGGCCTGCCCCAGCCCTCGTGCTGCTGAGCGCTGGCCTGGGTATTGGTCTCCAGCACCACCTTTGTTCTGTGGCACGGGCCTTGCCCCATGGCATGGGTGCTGGGCCTCCTCCTGAGCTATGGGCTATGCCTGGGGGTGGCTCGTCCTTTTGGCCGGGCTCCATCAGAGCCCCAGGCCTAGGCCCTGCCCTTGTCCACACAGCAGGGACCTGTGTGCACCCAGTGTTGCTTCTGCTCAATGTCTACCTCTTGCAGCTCCCAGGCAGCCCATATCCCCCCGATGTTGGCTGCTGGTCAGGCAGCTGGTACCCTTGTGAGTCACCTGGCAAAAGAGATGCCCTGCTGGGGCTGGAGGGCTCTGGATTCCCAGGCCCCACCCATAGCTCTCCACTAGAAATGTGTCTTCTCCAATCTGCTAGCCCCTGCCCATGCTCTGAGCTCCGCATTTCGCCCTGTGTTGGCATCCAAGCCCAGAGTTGCTGGCAGTTTGGTGGGAAGTCTCCTCCCGCCACCTTTGGCATCTCTCTGGGTCTGCCTCTTGGCATTGCACACCTCTCCTGATCATGCCCTCATTCTCAATTCTCCATAAGGCACAGGCTTATAGAGCACCTCAGCCCTCAACATGCTCCTCCTCTCCAGAAGAGACCACAGATTAAATCTGGGCAGCCTTAGTCTGCCTCTGAACAACCGGCATCTCTCTTGGGCAGGAGTCACTGATGTTCTTTCCTCCCAAATGGAGTCGCTGGTGAGGGTGCATCTCCCCGTTTAGACTCCTTGCACTTTCTGAGAATCCCGGGAGAGGAGGGCCAGCTCGTATAGTTCAGGGGCTGAGTGTGTGCCCTGGATGGGGCCTCTGCTATAGCGAACCACTTGTGAACCTGATCTGTGAACTTGGGGAGCCCCAGGCAGTGAGGACGGCACATGTGCAGTTTCAAACAGCAACCAGCTCTCACTGCAGCCCCGTAACCTCACTAGTGCGGTAGTGCTGTGTTCAGTCTTGTCCGTCCAGTTCAGTTGGAAAAATAGCAAACCCAGTTGTGTTGTTGTGCAGGAGGTACAGCGGTGTGCCCCTGATAGTTCTGTCACTCCATCGGGCTGTTTCCTAGAGAATCTGTCTGGCCCCTGTCGTGCCTGCTCCCCAGGCACTGGACACAGATATCCCCTCCTGACCAAAGCTCCTGCTTCCATGTGGCACATTTGTTCTTCCCATGGGGTGGCCACCCCGAGGGAGGGCTGAGGACCTGCCTGCCACCTCGCTCTACATTCACCCTGGGCCATATTGGGGGTTCAGAGCACATCCTTTGTGAAGGTCTGCTCTCCCAACATCTTGCCCCCGCTAAAGTTCTCAACTCCTCCTTTAGGCTCCGCAAACTTAAAAAAAAAAAGGTTACATTTGGGTAAATGCCCTCCCGCCAGGTGCTGGGCTGCAGGAATCAAGCACTTTTCAGCCCCAGGGCTCCAGAGAGGACCTAGGGGTGGCACTCAAGTGGTTGGCTGGAACTCCTGGCTTCTAAATATTGCTTTTTTTACTCCTCTGGAGTCCAGACCTGCACCCTGGGAGTGTCCCAGCAGGCCAAATGTGGCATCCATTTTTAAAAAGCTGGGCCCCAGGCAGGCAGAAATGGGTCCAGGTGTGGCCCTGCCCTGGCACCCTGACTGCGAAGGAGCCTCGCAGCTGCCCCCCGCCTTAAACAACCACTGTCTCTCCAAATGCCGGGGGATTCGGGTGCCAAGTGCTCTGAAAATCTATTCTCTTTGGCTCAGCCAAAAGACATATCCCCCTCTTTCTTCTTCCTCTCCTTCTGGGCTTGGAGGAATTTTCTTAAAAAAAAAAAAAAGAAAAGAAAAGAAAATCATAGTTAAGCCCAAGTGAGGAGACCCTGCCCAGGCCCCACTCTCCCTGCTCAGAAACCAAGTGGAGTTTGGGAGGAAAACCCGTCAGACGAGGAGAGGTGTTGACACAGGCCCAGGGCAGGAGAGAGGCTCACTCACGGGGACCCCCCACCCCCACCCTCCTGTCCTCTTCTTTGTTTACTTGGAGGTGGCAGCCTGTCTGGTCTTGTTCGTGGTCTGACTGTTCCTAAGTGTGTAACTTCCAGTATTATCTGTGGTGGATGGTTCTGTGGTGAACGAGGTTTATTCTGTTCCTTCTGGCTGCCTTGTACAAAATCCGTTAGAAAAGAAAATGTAAAATACCAGGTTTCTAATAAGACAAAAACAGCATTACAGAGTTAAAAGATTTTTACAACTGGTCTTGATTTTGATGTGAGCTGGTTTTTAACTCTCAAACGTTGTCACTTCAATAAAGACCTTATTTGCCTTTAAAATGTGCTTTGCTCTGAATGACCCTGGAATCCTTTCAGCTCAGATTCCCCCCGAGCTCGGGGCAGGCTGGACAACATACACGTGCGTGCGTGCATGAGTGCATGTGCATGTGTGTGTGTGTGGGGGGGGTGGCTCTGGGGGTGAGGGGAACAAATCTGGGCCCCAAACCACACACCTACTGCCCAGAGCAGCATTGAGAGTAGAGGTAGGGAGAAATGTCAGATACAGACTTTATTAAGAAAGAGTAGGTTATCTAGGAAGCTACGCACTAGCTTCTAATAATATGACAAGGCAGATATCTTGATATTTCACAAAGGGCAGAAGTGGCTGAACTGTTTGCCATGCGGAGAGCACAGCAGGCACTAGAGGCTTAGCGCCTCAGGACTGGCAGTGCCTGGCATCCCCACTTCCAGGGCTCTGGTGCTGGGAGAAGGGTCAGGAGCTGTGCTCCTAGGACTCTGGACATGGGGACACAACAGATGGTGGTCAAGACCCTTCGCTGGACTGCAGAGTTCTAAGGAGTCCTTTGCTGCTGGAGTCCCTTGCACTTGAGGCCTCCACAAGACTCAAGCATGGGATGCTTCTAAATCGCCCGGAGGAGAAGACTGATAAGCTCCCCTCACTGCGAGTTCTCCCCAGTCACTCCGAGGCAGGCACCGCTGAACCCCGAGGTGGCCAGAGCAGGAGCAGAGGCTGCAAGGCCCAGGCTGTGTCCCAGGGGCCTGCTGGGTGGTCCTCATGAGTAGGGCCCAGAGATGCCGCTGCCTCCCGCACTGCTGGGTGTGAGACCCTCTCCCTAACCCAAGAGTGGAATTGGCCCCACCTTCCGTGATGGGCTGAGTGGGGTCGGCAGCTCTGGCTCCGAGCCGGTACATAGAAGCTTTCTACATGGCTGGTCCCATCAGCTCTGGGGGTGTTTCCAGAAAACATCCAGTTCCTGAACATGCCTCTGAATATGCATGTGTGCTGAGGCTGAGGAGGAGGACACCGAGAAGGATGCGTTGGTGGTGGATTACCTGATGAGCACTGTCCTCAGTTCCGAATGAGAGAAATGGTCATGTCGCCACTGCAGATGGAAAATGGGAGGCACAGATGCCACAGGGTGCCACAGGCGTAGGGAGGCACAGAAGCCATAGGCTGCCATAGGCGGAGGGGCTCTCCCAGCCTAGACTACCCAAGACGGGACCTGACATGGAGGTAGGTGCATGGCCCGCCTGATCCACAGAACTGCAAGGGCCCTAAGAGCCTGCCATGACCACGGGGCCCAGGAGAAAATGGCCTGTGGGAGAAGAGTTCCTGGCCCAGTCCTGACCCCAGACTGGGGCTCCTACTTCCATGAAAGGAGCTACAGTGGGTGCTGTGGGGAGGACAGGCCTATCAGAACCAGGTATTCAGCCACACCGGGGTTCCAGGTGAGGGTTAACAGTGGGAACCCAACAGCCAGGGGCCACTCACACCCGGAGGGGAAATTTCACCACCTGGGTCCAGAACTTTTGGCCCCTCTCACATTGCAGATGAGAACACGGAGACTCAGAGAGAGGCAGGGACTGGCTAGGGGTCACAAAGCAGGTCACACGGGTGTCAGGCACACTCCAGGGATATACCTCCAGGCCACTTCATGGGGATGCATGAGACCTCCCACTCACCTGTCTTCAGCATCAATGGCATCGTCCAGCTCTTGGGACAGTTTCCGGAGGTGCTGAATTCCAGCGCCCACAGGCTCCAGGTCACTGTCAGACTCGCTGAACACAAGGAAGAGCCACACCAGTGACTAATTTCAACAATGAGGCTCTGGGGCCCGGAACACCCCACCCAAGCAGTGTCCATCAGAGAGAACTGGAGCCCTTGGCAGAGACCAGGAGGTGAGCTAACAAACCCATGTGCGGTTTTGCACTTGGAAACCGAGGAGTGTCAGCTTCCAAATGGGTGACAAACCTGAGTTTGGGCTCCCCATGGGCTAAAGCTTGCCTCGAAGGACCCCCCTCCCCTCCCGTTGATCGTCGATTTGCTCGAGCGGGCCCAGTAACGTCTCCATTGGAGACTTTGTTGTTACTGTGTCTGGCATATCGAATACTCTCGGTAGCTTGCCGGGCTCTCAGAGAGGAGCGGAGGAATCGAACTCGGGTCGGCCATGTTGGCCGCTTGTAAGGCGAACGCCCTACCCGCTGTGCTATCGATAGCACAGCGGTAGGACGTTTGCCTTATAAGCCTCGAAGGACATTCCCAGATTTTCTGCTAGCAGCAGGCTGGGAGGCAGGTAAGGCCGAGAGGGGCTGGCCATCAATGTGATTCAGGTCATTGTTGGGGAGGCAGGCCTCTTCTGCTTACCTGGGGGAGCAGAGGGGCTCTGTGGAGGAGTAGGGGCTCCGGAAGGCAGCCTCCCTCCTGGAGCGCCGCAGTGGGTGAGCATGCGGGCCGCTCTGGGCAGAGAGACAGGTGCGCTCCCTCTCCCAGGGGCTCAGAGCTGAGCGCGTAGGGGTGGTGCCGGGCTTCCGGGTGCTCCTCTGGCTCAGGCTGCGAGTGGGGGGGCTGGTGCACTTCTGCACGCTTCGCTTCCTCCTCCTGGCTCTCACCTGGGTCTCCACCAACCATTTGGTACTGCTCTGGTAAGACTCCTGGATCCTCTGTGACAGGTACAAGAGAAGGGAACACAGTGCCTTAGCCTTCACCCTCACGCACTCCGCAGATGCTGTGGGGAGCAGGTGCATGCAGGGGCCATCTCAGTACATCACAGGTAGCTTGCTGGCTTTGCCGGCCAGGCGAGATACTCTCAGTAGCTTGCCGGGCTCTCCGAGAGGGGCGGAGGAATCGAACCCAGGCTGACCGCGTGCAAGGCAAACACCGGCTTGTGCTATCTCTCCAGCCCCAAAAGAGATCAACTAGCTGCAAAATTTTTTCAGACACTTGTTCCTGGCTGAGACCTCTGGGGTGATCTCAGAGGTGGGCAGGCCAGCTCATGCCCAAACAAAGACCTGGCATCTGCTCCCATAGCCACTGCCGTGCCTCTGGCCAGACCCCACCGCCTCAGAACTGAGCACCACAGAGAACCTAATTTTCCAAAAACTCCCAGGCAGCCCAAGAAGACAAGGAGCCATGCTCAGTTAAACATTTAACTGCCCAGTTAAATATTCTGGATCTTCTAAAGAGTAGGGCTGCATTTCCTACTGTACCATGTTTAAACTCTATAACACTGACATCCCAGTAGCAGCATACCAGGTCGGATAGATGTAACAGAAACCCACCAATCTTGACTGAAGAAAACATTAACACAGAACGTTTAACTTGCAACAACAGCTTTATAAAAACCTCAGATAAGGACTTAATGTCCACATAGTGTCATACAAAAATTTTCACAAATTTTCTTCTGTGCAAATATTCTTTGATTACTTTGTTAGCCATTTAATGGTAGCACTGTAGCACTGTCCTCCCATTGTTCATCAATTTGCTCGAGCGGGCATCAGTAACGTCTCCATTGTGAGACTTGTTACTGTTTTTGGCATATCGAATATCCCACGGTAGCTTGCCAGGCTCTGCTGTGAGCATTTAATGGTGACAAGCAACATCCAATACATCATAGTGAACCTGCTATGGGGGGTAGGTTGAAGGGCAGTTGGGAAAACGGAGACAACAGTGAAGGGAAGGTGACAGTGGTGATGGTATTGACATTGGAATATTGAATACCTGTAACAAACCATCATGAAAACTTTGTAAAGCATGATGTTTAAATAAAATGGGGGACAAAAAAATGCCCCCCCCCCAGGTTCTTCCTGTCCAGGGCATAGTCTTATATGCAAAATATGTGGCAGCTTCCTGCTCATAATCTCATCAAACAATAGATATTTTCAAAAGGACCTTCAGAGCAACTCTCTAAGTTTTCAGTTCGCTGCAGGGCCAAGCTCCTCAGAGGTAAGTCTACTACAAACCCCATTCGGTAGCAAAGAGAAGATTAAGTACCTAATCACACTGGGTCTGCATTCTGCAGAAACTTCCTGTTGGCTTTCAGGGGCCTTGGGCTGAGTCGAAGCCCTGCCCTACCTTACTCTCTGTCCTCCCATATGCTGACTACACTCCTGTCAGTCTCTTCTGCAGCTTTTCCTCAAGGCCATGGTTCTGGGTCTGAACTCACGCCATTGCACTGGCCACCTACACTCTTTGTACCTGCCCTTTCTTGGGTGCATACCATGGTGCCATCTCTAGGAGTCGATCACAGGGAGCTGTTTGGCCTCCCGGCACCATTAGCCACTGGCCTGCAGAGATGCTTCCTACATGAACTAGTTTCCTTGCTTTCTTCCTCCTCTCCCTCCTTCCTTTCCTCCCTTCTTTCCCCTAAAGTTTTTCAAGGGCTACTCCTGGCTGTTTGCTCAGGGGTCCTTCTTGGTGTTGCTTGAGGGAACCACGAGGTACCAGGAGCTGCATGCAAAGCATGCACTGTCTGTTCGCCCGTCTCCTGGCCCTGTGGCACCATTTTCATCCAAAGTTCTGTCTCCATCTGTATTCTGCATTCTTGGGGACTCCATGGGGATAGAGCTATCTATCCACCCAGCATTAGGGCAGCCCTCCATGAAGGGACTACCCATCCCTTGTTACAATTTTCGGCCTTACCTGGGACACGACGCCCAAAGCATTCTTAGCTGAGCGAGCTGCAGCCTGGAGTCCCTGCTGGCCTGGCTCTGGGGCTTCCAGACGTTTCCAGGAGGGGCCTGGCCCTAAGTTGAGGCTGACTGTTCTCAGGGGAAGTCTCCTCTGGAACTGCCTACACAGGGAGCCCAGGGCCCCGCCGGAGACCTCTGTGAGGCTGTCTGCAGGCTGCTCGTCGCACTCCTCCAGCTGCTTGTGGTCCGGGAGGGATCTCAGGCGCACGGAGCTCCCCAAGCTTGGCCACCGAGAGGCCATCTGCCCGGGTGAGTCTGTTCTGCCCACCAAATCCTGGGGAGGAGTCAAAAGGCTGGTGAGAGAGGCATTCTGTTCCATCTCCCCTCCCCCAGGGTTCAGGACAGTCTGGCCGGTCCAGGCGTGGGTGGGGTCGCTTGGTAGCCGTGGGTGGCATTGTGGAAGAGGGGTCAGCAAGGCCCGGGAGAAGGCGGCGGTAGAGCAAAGCAGGCCAGCATTTGCTGCCGGTCCTAGCCATGAGCATCCGACAGAGTCGTCTTTCTACCTCCGCTTCCTCCCACCCCGGGCGGGGCCGCGCCCGACACCTGGCCCAGAGCACAATGGGCGACCGGCGGCTTTTCCCACCAAATCGCTCCTGGCCAGAGCACTGTCTCCCGCCGGCCGGCCCACCCGACACTCCGATGTCCACCTCGCGATGCTCAGGTGCCTCCGAGGCCTGGCTGGACGTCAGCCGCCCTGCCCCCCGCCCTTCCCACCAGCAAACCCCACGGCGCGAGCCCGCACTCACCCGACGCCCCGACGCCGACCGGAGCCACCGGCCGCGCTCGCCCACCCGGGCCGAGGATTTCAAACTCCGCGCGGCTCGGCCCCGGCCCCGTCCGCGCAGCTGATTGGCTGCTTCTCCGCACGCGGCTCGTCCCCGGACGCGATTGGCCGCCTGCGCCCGGGCTGCGAGTCCCGCCCCGGGGTCGGCTCGGCCCCTCCGCCCCTCGGGACCGCCGCGGGCTCGGCGCCAGCGCCCCGGCGCGGCCTGCTGCCCTCCGCTCCCGCCGGCCCCCGCGCCCCCTCCCGGCTGGGCTGGTCGCCACGCCCTGTCCACATGCTCCGCGGACAGTAACGGGCGGGCCGGGGAGCCGCGGAGGGAGGCGGGGGAAGAGAGACGGAAAGAGAGACCGAGAGACAAAGAGAGGGAGGGGGAGGGGGGAGACGGAGACAGCTCCTCGCTGGGTCTGCAGATCCATTCCTCCAAGCTCTGTCCTGCCCTTGCTTTGACCTCTGGGTTAGCTCCTAGACCCCGCTCTTTCGGGAACTGAGCATTCGTGGAGACGAGAGGCGAGGGCCCACACATGCTCAAGAAGCGAACTGCGCCCGAAAGATGCATCGGGTGCGGCATCCCATCCTTACCAAGAAGGACGTTATGTCCCCGGAAGGGAATTTCCCCGGCACTTTGACCAGACCAGACGTGAGCATGCGAATGCAAGGCCCCTTTATTGCTAGCTCGAGCTGGGGTCCAAGTCTCATCCAGCACAGTGAAGTCTTGACAAGGACCCCAACTCCGAATTCTGAGCAGTTTATATAGGGTTTGGTTACATAACAGCATTTTTTCCCCAGGAACTGGCAATATGTTTTCAATTCTGGCCCCTGTCTGGTCAAGGACCAACATTGTTTCCAATTCTTGGTCCCTGTCTAGTCCCCTGACTCCACTCCCTAGACCCTCTCTACTTGGTGGGTGCCACTGCCCATGCCCCCTACTCTCATAGGCTCTTCCCACAGGGCTGTTTATCTGCCCAGGGTGATATTGTTTTCTGAAAAGTTGGGACTTTCTGATGGGGGAAACTGAGAGTTAGGCCTCCTGAGTTTTGGTCTTACAGTGGAGCCTGTCATGGCTCCATTTCAGTCTCACAGACACAATGTCATTCATCATCTATAAAAGGGGGTGCTGGCCTCTGACAAGGGGCACTTGAGTCTCTCCATGACAGGGCACTTACCAAATGTTTCTTCCTAATAAACCCAGTTGTGAAATAACCGCTTTTTTGGGTTTGTTTGTTTGAAGTCAATAGAACTTGTTTGACACTCTTTGCAGCCTCTGCCTGAATGATGAGACTGGTAGGGCCGAAATTTCCCCGGTAGGGTCCTGGAGAGAGTACAGTAGGTAGTGCATTTGCCTTACATGCAGAAGACCAAAGTTCAATCTCTGGAATTCTTTATGGTCCCAGGAACAATGCCAGAAGTGATCCCTGAGCCTAAAGCCAGGGTATGTCATTGCCAGGTGTGGCCCCAGGCCTCCAAAACAATAAAGTAAAATGGAGCCTTAGTTTCCAAACTTTTTTGTGTCAGTTATTATAACTCGGGAATTTGATTAGCATGTTTTACCTGTAACATACGAGGAGGGAAGCAAGACGAACCTTTTTTTTTTCTTTTTGTTTTTGAGCCATTCCTGGTGATGGTCAGGACTTATTCCTGGCTCTGTATTCAGAGATCACTCCTGGAGGGGCGTGGGGGACTGTATTGGGTACTGGGGATCAAACTTAGCTGGCTGTGTGCAAGGCAAGCACCGTAGTTGCCGTACTATCAACCAGTCACAGTATATTTATATATTAAACCTAAGCTGTAAGAGTAGGAGAAGCTTCGCAGCACTGGACCCTAGGAATGGAGTATCTGCTGTGGGACTCTTGGCCATGATGCAGCCTGAGAATAGCTTCTGCCTGCTGAGCCCTGTGAGTGCATTTTCTCTTTTCCCCTTCTTAGTCCTCCCGGCAACTCTGAAGCAGGCACTGTGTTGATTCCCAGGACAGACAACAAACCAAGATTCCCACTGGTGGAGTGTCTGGCCTGAGACGGAGGTGAGCCAGAGCTGGAGCTGAAGCCCTGGAAGTCTCTACTCTTGACCTGGGAGTCCAGGCCCTCCTCTGGCATCAGGAGTGCAGCCCTGCGTGGTCCGCCATTGGGCATCGGTTGGTGGTCTTCAGCCCTCCCCTCTGAGCCCTCACTGGCAGGTCAGGTGAGAGAAGAGCAGTTTCCATGGCAACGAGAGATGGCGGGAGAAAGCTCTTTCCTTTCATAAGCCTTTTCCTTGCAGAACACAAAGTGGTAGGGGAGGGATGGCTTAGAACAGGCTCCCAGTTGAGGACTGAGGGCCGCAGGCTCTTGCTCCTTCTTGAAAGAAGGAAGAGCACCAGCTGTCCTGGTGCCTAGAAACGAGCTGACTCCTTCACCATCCCCCTGCAGGGAACATGCGGCTGTACCCACCTTTTTGGGGTCCAGCACTCCCCAGAGGAGCTGCAGCCCAGGTCTGCTGTGGGTTCTCAGGCCCATAGAGGAAGCTTTGCCTCTTAGACTTCCTGACCTCAGGGAACTGTTGGCTTGGTAACAGGAACCGTTACAGTGTGCTCAGCCCCTCGAGTCAGAAGTACTGGGGGCCCATGGGGAGGGGAGAGGGGGACCCACCTGAGCTGTGGTCAAGGCAGGCAGCCCTTAGCCTGTGGTGTTTTATTGAGGAGTTAGGGGACAAAGTGAGCTGGAGAAGAGAGGGAGAGAGGTATGAGAAGGGGAAGTTCCAGGGTCCGGGCAGAGGGAGAGGCTGAGGCCTGAGTGAGGGGCGGGGCAAACAAGACAGGGAACTTGAGGGCTCCCGGGACTAGGGTGAGAGTCCCAGCTCTCTCTGGAGGTGGTGGGGGCCACTGGCTGACTCTCAGGGAGTTAGGGTTACTAGAATTGCATTGTGATGGAGTTTGTTAGGAGCTGCCAAATGGTGACTCCACCTGGAGGCTGTTTGCTCCCCATTTTCCTTTCATGTATAGAGATAAATTTCAGATATATATATATATATATATATATATATATTAGCACTGTCCTGTTGTTCATCGATTTTCTTGAGCGGGCACCAGTAATGTCTCCATTGTGAGACTTGTTACTGTTTTTGGCATATGGAATAAGTCACAGGTAGCTTGCCAGACTTTGCCGTGCAGGCGAGATACTCTCAGTAGCTTGCCGGGCTCTCCGAGAGGGGCAGAAGAATCAAACCCAGGTCGGCCGCGTGCAAGGCAAATGCCCTACCCACTATGCTATTGCTCCAGTCCATCTCTCTCTCTCTCTCTCTCCGTCTCTCTCTCTCTCTCTCTCTCTCTCTCTATATATATATATATATATATATCTATATATTACTGTATCACTGTCACTGTCCTCCCATTGTTCATCGATTTGCTTGAGTGGGCCCAGTAACGTCTCCATTGTGATACTTGTTGTTACTGTTTTTGGCATATCGAATACGCCATGGGGAGCTTGCCAGGCTTTGCCGCTATATGTTGGCTTGGTAACAGGAACCGTGACAGTGTGCACAGCCCCTTGAGTAAGAAGTACTGGGGGCCCATGAGGCGGGAAGGGGAGAGGGGTGCCCACCTGAGCTGTAGTCAAGGCAGGGAGCCCCTAGCCTCTGGTGTTTGTTTTGGGGGCCACACCCGGTAGTGCTGAGGGCTTCCTCCTGGCTCCAAGCTCAGAGATACCTTTATCACTTGCTGTACTCCCTCTCTCTGGTCCTCTGCCCCTCATTTTTCTTTAATAAAATACCTGCCCACCACTACACCAAGCATCACCTTTTTTCTCTCATGCCCCCACCAACTATTGGCCCAAACCATAGGGTCTAACTGCTGGATTTGTCCTCTGCCCTTGAATACCCTTTGACCGTCCACACAGGGAAACCACTGAAATAGCAAGAGTATTAGGCCATGGGTCAACTTGATGTTGATGGGCTCAATGGGTGGCTTATGTTAAGCGGGGAGGAGAAAGACGGTCACTTTCTCCTGATCCGCCTCTGTCTCCCGGGACCCAGAGTTACTGGACTCTTGTCTCACCTCGCAGAAAAGAATTTCAGGAGTAGATGAGCAGTGAAGTGAAACAGATTTTATTTGGAGGGTTTTGAACGTGTGGAGGGGAAGGAAAGAGAAAGAGAGGGATAATAATGGGTAGATAGGAAAGTACACATCTCAAGAGGGGAGATTCGGGCAACATATGTGCTTGGGCGACACATGTGCTCAGGCACCACATGTGCTCGGCCACGTGGGTGCAAGCAGCACATTGGGCTCGAGCAGTGTATGCACGCCCTCCCTTTGTTCAAGGTGGCTCTTATAGGGTTTTCCCAAACCATCCCCATATGGGGCTTTCTAGATAGAGAAGAGTCCGTACCTAGGGTTGCTGCTAAGTGGGTGGAATTGGGTGTAGTTTTTGAAACTCCTTTTTTTGACCTTTGTTCCCGCTGGATCTTCTCCCAGAGGATGGGTTCAGCCTTCTCGATCTAGGCTAGCTGAGGGTTATCGGATTAAAGGAAGGAATTGAAGGTTCTCCATTTTATTGAGAAATTGAGTAATTTCCTTTAGGCCCTTTCTGTAGGGAGGGGTCCAGTCTCCTAAGGGTCTGCTGCTGGAGGAGCGCTTATCGGTCTTGCTTTCTGCATCTACAAGGTGGGTCAAATTTAGAACTGGTGGCTTTATTTCTTCCCAGAAATTTCATTGCCATGATGTGTGTGTGTGTTGGGGGGGCAGGGGTGCTTCCCTAAGCTACCTGCCTGCCTCAGACTGACCCTTTAGTCCAACTGTGAATCACAACACGAAGCACAAAGGAGAGAAGTCGCACCCATAAAGTCTAGGATAAGAAATATAGCAGTCTCCCCTTCCCTATGGTTTTACCCTCTAGGCCTCATTTACCTGTGGTTAATCAAGGTACAAAGGTACTCTGCATGTGGAGTTCATGCCCAATTCAATCAGCTAATCAGTGGCTGAAAAAATGGCAGTACTCCTACATAAAAAAAAAGAGTACTCTGCACAATATGATACATAAATAAGATAAATATATATAGTGAGAAAAACTTATTTATTGCTATAGATTATAATTAATCAGTTGTTGTTGCTAATTTCTTGATTAATTTATTAATCAAGCTTAATATCTAGGAAAAACAATACATGTTGAGTTTTGTATGACTCACAGCTTTAGGAATCCAGTGGGAATGTTGAATGTATCTCCCCAGATAGAGAATGGGGTGGAGGGGATGTGGTGGTGGTGGTGGGGGGGGCTACTGGGTGCATTGGTGGTGGAGAATGGGCACTGGTGGAGGGATGGGTACTTGATCATTGTATAACTGAAACCCAAGCACGAAAGTTTGTAAGTCTACAACTGTACCTCATGATGTTTCACAAATAATAATTTAAAAAAAAACAGAACAAAAAAGCAAAAGCTCATGGGAACAGCAGCTCGGTATTACTGAAACAAAAACACTGACGTTATTGTAAATCTTGGTGCCTAGAACCCAAGCCAACTCCTTCACTGTCCCCCTGCAGGGGCTGGACCCCGGAAGCAGCCCCCGCTTGCCCCCTGCTTTATGCCCTCCCTCTCAACTTCATCCTTTCCTGCCCTGGCAGGCAGATAGGTGGGGGGCCCTGTTAATGAGTTTTTCTGGAAATAACACAATTAAGAAGAAACTCCCAGTTCTAAAATAGTTAACTTCACCCTTTTGAGATGCAAATACGGAGCTCTTTGGAGATGGAGAAATTGAGGCACCGTCCAGAGAAAGGCTGCAGCCCTGCAAGTCCATCTCCTGCCTCTGAGACCAGAACATTCTAGGTTGCTGTGTGACTGGAGAAAGGATGGAGAAAAAGAGAGTGGCCTTGTCACTGCCTCCTACCTTGTCCCCTGCTTCTGTCCCAGAGAGGGATGGGGCCAGGTTCTGGGGAGCCAAGAGGGTGTGTCTGAGCAGGAGGTGGGGTCCAGAGTCAGCAGCCCCTGGCTGGTCGGCTCCTCTGCCCAGTCCAGTTTGGCCCAGGCCTGGCTTCTTCTATGCCAGTGGCTCCCAGGATTCAAGACTTTCAGGGTGCCGGGTTTCATGTCCCTCACTGCTCATCATCTTCCTGGAGAGGACGGCAGGGGAAGGGAAGAAGGTTTCCTGATTTTAGGTAGGAAATCTCCAAGGTCACAGAGCAGCAGGGTATGGATCTGCCTGTGACCAGAGCCCTGTCTGCTCTCTAGTCAAGAGTCCTCTCTCCCTGGGACGGATCTTGCTACCCTTCTCTCAGAAACAAGTTCTGGCTACAGAAAAGCTCAGACTCCCCCAGTACCTTCAGGACCTTGGGAAATTTTACAGGCGCAAGAACTTAAATTGACCACAAGGTGGCGCAAACCATCTTCACATTCGTTTTTACTTTTAGAACTGAAGGTGGGATCCCTGCTACCCCGAACCGGATACCTAGAATAAATTCTGTCTGGATCTCGGAACACCGAACAGAGATCCTCGAAGGGTGTCGGGAGGTCCCTACTGCCCTAAGCGAGACATTGTAGGAGTGCAGCCTGGGGTTGCAGCTCCTCAGCTGCCGGAAACACATTCCCTGGCTCCCTGGTGTTAGTGTTCCCGGTCATAAACCATCCTTTCCCCCTCCTGCCCAAATGTCACTCCCTCCAGGGCGGGCCTCAGGCGGAGGGGAGGAGGGCATGGCAAAGACAGATGGAGCAGACCTCAAAGGCCTGGGTTTAGGGTCCAGAGCACCAAGAGTCTGACTCCGGGCCAGCGCCCCAGCCAGTCGGGCAGGGCAAAGGGACTTCGGGTCTCCCTGCTTTTCCTTGTTTGTGCCTCCCCCTGGTCTTTAGAGGAGCTCCAGTTCCTGTTCCATGGGGTAAAGACGCAGCTGCACTGGTTGGTGTCAAGCAGGGACATGGCCAGCGGGGTGGTGATGGGCTGGCAGCAGGGTGCCCTGGCCAGCAGCCAGGTTCCAGCTTGCAGAGTCTCCCCCACTCCACCCCCCTTCTTTCATCACACCCTCCCTACTCCACAAATCCACAAATCCCTGGGTGAGTGCTTAGGCACCTTCGTCCTGGGAGCTAATCTGTGTCTCCTGGACCAACTTGGGGGGACACCATGGACACTGCCCTGCTACTCGGGGTGGAAGGAATCAAGAAAACCATCCTGCATGGAGGCACCGGGACACTCCCAGACTTCATCACCGGGTCCCGAGTAAGTGGAGCTCCCCGCATGGGCATCCCCACATCCATACCCCCCAGGCAGCCTTCTGCATATTTGCTGTGCCAAGTGGAACTTGGGCTCTTTGGTGGGCTTTGCCAATAGAAATAGCCGGAACTGGGGGCTGGAGCAATAGCACCAGCGGGTAGGGCGTTTGCCTTGCACGTGGCAGACCCAGGTTCGATTCCCAGCATCCCATATGGTCCCCTGAGCACTGCCAGGAATAATTCCTGAGTGCAGAGTCAGGAGTAACCCCTGTGCATCTGCAGGTGTTACCCATAAAACAACAAAAACAACAACAACAAAAGTAGCTGGCTAAGCCCAGATGTTCAAGGGGCAATTTTGCTGCTTTGCAAATTAGCCTTCAGCAAGGAGTCAGGTGGGCCTTTGGGGATTTTCTCGAGCCTAAAGAAGGGTGGGGCTTTGGGGTCATTGTATCTGTGGACAGTCTGGCAGTGGGTTTCCCCTCCAGCCAGCTGGAGGGAATGGTCTGACTAACAGATCAAGGGCTTATTTATTTATTTTGGTTTTTGAGCCATGCCTGGCAGCATTCAGGGGCTACTCCCAGCTCTGTGCTCGTCAGGGAAGCTAACGTGGAGCTACCACATGCAAAGCCTGAGCTTCTTCCCCTCTCTTGTTGGTTAAGGAAGATCCTCCTGCTCCAAGCTGCTAAACATGCTGGGGTCCTTTAGGAGGGCCTGGACTTCTCATGCTGGGGCCACCAGACAGGGTTGGACGACCTGGCCCTCACGGCCACCCTGGGAATTGGTGGTGGTGGTGGGCTGGCTTCTGCTGTTCCCTGAGGTGTGTCTTCATCCAGTCCACGCTCTTGCCCATCAGGTGACCTTTCATTTCCGCACCATGAAATGCGACGAGGAGCGGACGGTGATCGACGACAGCAGGCAAGCGGGCCGGCCGATGCACATCATCATTGGGAACATGTTCAAGCTGGAGGCCTGGGAAATCCTGCTGACGTCCATGCGCCTGAATGAGGTGGCCGAGTTCTGGTGTGACACCATTGTAAGTCGGCCCCAGAGCCTGGGTCACACTCTGGACACAGACACACCCTGACACAAACACACACACTTGGCGGGACTGCTATGTCTTAGAAGGTGAGGCGAGCACCGTTTCTCTCAGAATGCACCCCCATTTTCTGTCCCGCCAACAAGGAAGAGGACCTTGGGGAAAACAGCCTCTCTTGTGGCTCTGTGTTGTGGCACTGGAGCTCGCAGGTGGCACTTGAGAGCGTAGTTTCCCTGTCCACTGCACTGTCCCTGTGCTTGCCTCAGGGCTGCTAGGTCGGAGGGGACTTTGGGCCGCTGGTCACTCTTCTGCGCACTCTGCCTGACTCTTACAACATTGAGGAATCGTTTCCTTTGTGACACTCCGATTTGGGGGTGTTTCCCAAGCAGGGCTCAGGAGGCCTGGGGGCTCCACTAGGGGGTTCGTAGTCAGTCAGGTCAGTGGCTCAATGCCAGGGGCCGAAGGCGACAACACTGCAAGGGCCTCCTGGTCCTGGAGATAGCCAGGCCACACCTGGTGCTGTTTTGGGGCCTGAAACAGGGCTGAACCCATCAGTGCTTGGGGAGTCATGTGGTGCCAGGGACAGAACCTGGGTCTAGCATGAGCACTCTTAGAATCACCTGTAGAAGCTAATTATTCTCCTTCAGCCCCATAGACAGGGCAACACTCACTGATATTTTTAAATTTTGTTTTATTTTTGAGAGGTCACACCTAGAGGTGCTCAGGGCTTACTCCTGGCTCTGTGCTCACTACTGGTGGGGTTCAGGGATATAGTGTCAGGGGTCAAACCTGGCATGACCACATGCAACATAAGCTCCCTACCTGCTATACTATCGCTCCAGTCCAAATCTTTTTTTTTCTTCTTTTTTTAGGCCTTTTCTTGGGAAAAGTTTTCAATTAGCAATAATCGGCAAAGCCTGGCAAGCTACTTGTGATGTATTCGATATGCCAAACACAGTAACAACAAAGTCTCACAATGGAGACGTTACTGGGCCCACTCGAGAAAATGGATGAACAACGGGAGGACAGTGACAGTGCCAGTGACAGGCCTTTTCTTGGCTACACCCAGAGGTTCTAGGATCACTCCTGGAGGTGTTCAGGGAACCATATGGGGTGCCAGAGATTGAACCTGGGCTGGCTGCTTGCAGAGTTAATGCCCAACAGGTTATACCATTGTTCCAGCCCTGTCTGGCCCAAATCTTTAAACGTACTTTTCTTAGAGAAGCTTTCAAGCAAATACAAAAGTAAAAATTTTTCCTGAGCTCCCTTTTCCCCTAGAATGTGTGGCTGGTCTCCAAGCTATGGAGCAAAATAGAGTTAAATTTTTAATCACTCCACTTTCTACTCCACTTTCTATGGGCTGGAGTGATAGCACAGCGGTAGGGCATTTGCCTTGCACGTGGCCGACCTGGCTGACCCAGGTTCAATTCCTCCACCCCTCTTGGAGAGCGCAGCAAGCTACCGAGAGTATCTCACCCGCACAGCAAAGCCTGGCAAGCTCCCCGTTATCATATTTGATATGCCAAACACAGTAACAAGTCTCACAATGTTACTGGGCCCTCTCGAGCAAATCGATGAACAACGGGAGGACCGTGACCGTGACCACTTTCTATAACCTGTGTGCCCTGCATGCAGGTGCCACCCACATTTCTGCCTCTCACTGTACTGGTGGGGTTGGCCATTGAGCTCAGTGGCAGCTGATGCAGCTATCACAAAGTGTCCTCTTGCCTTTCATCTCATGAATTTACCCAATTTACCCACATTATTTCATTGGGGACCACTGACCTTTTCTTTTTTGTTCACATTGGACTCACCCAGATGTGAACCTGAACAGTGATCTTACAAAAGAGCAACTTGGGAGAGATAGATAGATAGATAGATAGATAGATAGATAGATAGAGACAGAGAGACAGAGACAGAGACAGAGAGACAGAGAGAAACAGAGAGACAGAGAGGGAGGCAGAGAGGGAGAGACCCACGTTTTAGCACTGCCCTGTTCTTTATTAACTTGATGACTGGGGATGTCTCTGTGCACTCAATTTCCTCACGTATAAATAAGCAAAACCCAAAGTTAAGTGTTGTTATAGGAATTACACAGTATGAGGTAGATTAGGGAAGATTGTGGCAAAGGCAATAGAGGAGTTGCAGCAATATTTTGAACTTCTTAGAGCCATGAACACCCGGAATTTAGGTCACACATACAGGCAAAGCTTGAGGGAACACCCAGGATGTGTGTTCCCCCAAGAACACAAGGCCCCTCTCAGGATGTACATTCGCTAAAGCAGGAGTGAAGTGCACAGGGGTTGTCAATACAGTCTTGATTGGCTGATTGATTTGTTGCTTGCAAACCTACAAACTGCTGTTTTTCCTGGGATGTAGGTATGAGGCCGTCTCCTGTGGTGTCTGTGTTCTTTTGACAATACAACAGCAACATGAATGCACGATTCCGCCTCCAGGCTGGTGGTTTTCATGTCCCATTGTCATGTCCCAATTTTCCCAGTGGCCTCCACACCTATTCTTCCCAGCCATAATTATAAGCCTCTCTCTCCCTCCCTCCATCTCTCCCACTCCTCTCCTCTGTCTCTCTCTCCTCTCTCTCTCTCTCTCTCTCACACACACACACACATACACACACCACTTCTAGAGTCATTTGTTAACTATCCACCTTTTACCCATTTCAGGTTTCAGTTAATCTATGCTCTCCAATTCATAATCTAGTCTTCTATCACTAATTATCCACTCATCATCTATCCATTCACCCGCCATCCACCATCCATCCATCCACCTCTTCATCTATCCATCTATCTATCATTGATCATCCATCCACCCATCCATCCATCCATCCATCCATCCATCCATCCATCCATCCATCTGCCAGTATATATATCACATTAGAAAACCTGGCCCATGTCCTTTATTAATAATGAAACAAATGGCCAGAGATAGTAAAGGGTTAAGGCACTTGCTATGTGTGTGCCTGACCCTGGTTTGATCCCTGGGGGCACATGTGGTCTGCCATGTCCCATTTGGAATGACTCCTGAACACAGTCATTTGTAGCCCAGAAAACCAAAAAATAAAGAAACAAAGTCCAGGAAATTAAATTTTGGGGAGTCAGGGGGAAGAAATGTTTTATTTCCATAAAGAAGTTTCACGAGGGCTTTTTGGTGGCCACCACCTTTCTCACGATGGCCATGCCATTGCTTGCATGTCTCTTTTCTTGAAGAATTCAGCACTGGCTTGTCCTTTGGGACCTTAAGTGATCCATGGTGCTCATTGGCTCTATTGGGATGGGGAAGGTCCCTGGATCACGTCCTCACCTGCACAGTGTGCTGGAAGCTCTGATAGAGGGCAGGTCTGGGCTTTCTCCCATGCTTGGTCACTTTGTGGCTCTTGCTCACTGCCATTTTGCACTGCAGCAAGAGGAGGACATGAGGCAGCAGATCCTGCCACTGTGGGGTCCTATTTGAGGAACTTAAATTCTGAAAGCTTGTTTGGAGGTTCTAGCAGGGGAGTACAGCTACTTGTATACCCTTGACACTATTTTTGTTTGTTTGTGGGCCACACCCGGCGATGCTCAGAGGTTACTCCTGGCTCAGAGTTCAGAAATCACTCCTGGCAGTGCTTGGGGACCATATGGGATGCTGGGGATCAAACCCAGATTGGCTATGTGCAAGACAAATGCCTCACCCTCTGTTCTCTTTCTCTAGCCCCAAGCAAGGAGCTTAAATCTTGAAGGAGGAGGAACAGACACCTAAGCAGTGACACAACAAGCCAGCTGCCTGCCTTAGGGTCCCTAGAGGGTTTTCTTCAAGGAGAGGAAGATGTTGGGTTGGGTCTTAAAGGATGAAGCAGTGATTACCAGGTTTAGGAATGCAGAGGGGGAGGTATCCGGATCCCAGAGGGTGAGATTACCTGGCTTGTTTCATTGTTAGGGCCCCTTCTCCTCTGAGTGGCACTTCTCTACTTAAGAATCTGAGAGTTCTCGGCCAGACCAAAGGTATAGCCTAGAGGGCACTGCCTTGCAGGTGGCCAGCCTGAGTTTGATCCCTGCCATCCCATATAGTTCCCTGAGCAAAGCCAGGAATGATTCCAGAATACTCCTTAAACATCGTTGGGTGTGCCTCCCTCCCCCCAAAGACCCTGAGTTCTAGAAAGCAATTAGGGGACCAGTAGTTCGATAGCCCATTTGATAAGGAACACAGGAGGGCCTGGCCTTGTCCCAGCAGAACTTCTGTGGGACGATCCTTCCTGCATCCCTTTAGGCCTCCCTCCCTTCCTTTCTGCTAAACCAGAGATGCTCAGAGATTCTGGGTGAGTCAGGGGTGCTGGGAGCTCTACCCTGAAATGCACCCTCTCTGTGGGTCCCTTTCCCCCATCCTAGGAAGGATACTGGTCTCTATGGGTTTTTGCTGGTACCGCAGTCTTGTGAGGACTGGACTTGCAGACTCAAATTCCACCAGGAGCCAGCACCACTGGTTGGCTGAAGGTCGTCAGGCCCACCTGGGGGAGAGCTGGGCAGGCAGCTTGAAAGCAGGCTGGGCCCTGGGCTCCTGAGACTAGCAGAGATGGGCACTAGCACACATGCTCTTAGCTTTAGTGCCAGGGGGGCCACCACAACAGCTCACCTCCACCCCTGATGTGGACTCAGTCAGCTCCTTAGCCAGAACCAGCCTTTAGCCTGGGAACTCCTGAGAGAGGCGTGGTCCTGGGCTGCCTACCCAGAAGGCAGCTGGTTTCCAGCCCCTCAGAGGCCTCTGGAGACCCTAGCTGCCCTGCCGGCCTGCAGCTAGGCACCTGGGGTGCAAGCATGTGTGTGCATGTGTGTGGAGTGGAGTCCCCTTCCTCTCTGGAGGCCCTGCCCCTGTGGGGGTGGGCTCTGCAGACCTATTCCTGTCTGGCCTTGATCACTCTCTGCCTGATCACATCCCCTGCTGACCAGGGGCTCTGAGAATGCTGAGGTGGCCAGCATCCAGTGGGACCAGTTATTAAGCTTAGGCCATATCCAACTCACCTGGTCTGGGATTCTCAGCATCCAGGAGCTTTCTGGGAGGCAGGGCCTGGACTGAAGGGCTCTGCCTCCAACTCCCCCCTTTCCTCCTCCCCCACCCAGCCCAGTGGCCGTTGGGCCTCTCTGTGTCTTTGTTTGGCCTTAATCCCAGCAGGCTTACCTGCCATCTGGCCTCCTGCTCACAAGACAGCGGGCACTCAGGCTAATCCTCGCTTGTGAAATCAGCGGTGACCTTTAGCCCTTGACCTGGTGCCCCTGGAGCTGCCCTTGGCTTTGCTATTAGGGGTCTTCACTTGAGCTGCCCCGGTCAGGGCCTCTAGCTTCCAGTCCTTGCCTGGGGCCCTCCCCAGGCTTCCCAGCCATGCTGCAGCCCAGGGTGGTACCTCACTCCCATGAGGGAGCTGTGACCCGAGTCTGCACCATCTCCTTGAATCTCCACACAAGTGGAGATGAAGTGCCACCAATGGGACAATCTCAGAGGGGTGGTGACCTGGGTACACTGTCATTGTTCTCTCTGACTGGTCCCCTGCCCTGCTCTGCATGCCGCCCTCCCTGAGAATCTATAGATGGGGATCATAGTAATTCCCCTTCCCTCTTACTGGGTTACCCTAAGTACTGAAGGAGCAAGTGGGTGAGCAGCCCCTTTTCCAGTCCCAGACAACACAGTGGGGACTGCAGGGGATTATGGTAGTGTCTCCTGTGTGTGTGTGTGTGTGGGGGGGATGGAGGGAGGTGGGGACTGAGTCCTGCCATGATCCAGAGCAGGGACTCCGCAGCTGTGCTCGCTCTGTTCAGAAACTCTGGAAACCACTCACGGTGTCTCCCCACAGCACACAGGGGTCTACCCCATCCTGTCGAGGAGCCTGCGGCAGATGGCCGAGGGCAAGGACCCCACAGAGTGGCACGTGCACACCTGTGGGCTAGCCAACATGTTCGCCTACCACACACTGGGCTACGAGGACCTGGATGAGCTGCAGAAGGAGCCCCAGCCCCTGATCTTCGTGATCGAGCTGCTGCAGGTGGGAGTACAGGGGGCAGAGGGCTGCTGCAGGTCAGAGAGCAGCAGTGGCATGGTAGAAGCCCACCAGCTCTGGGTGCAGGGCAACCTTGACTCCAGAGAACACGGGCAATCGTAAACCACAGGCAGGCTGGAATTTGATGGTTTCTCCAAAATCCTGTCTTTTCCAAGGAAAAACTCACTTAGGGTCATTTTGAAAAAGTTTTTCATATTCTTTTTTTTTTCTTTTTGGCTTTTTGAGTCACACCCAGTGATGCTCAGGGGTTACTCCTGGCTCTGCACTCAGGAATTACTCCCAGTGCTGGGGGGACCTTATGGGATGCTGGAAGTTGAACCTGAGTCAGCCGAGTGCAAGGCAAACGCCCGCCCTCCCCGCTGTGCTATCGCTCCAGCCCCTCATATTCATTTCAAAGGCCTTTTGTCTGCTTCCTGTTTCCGTCTTCAGAAATTTAGGGTTACACCCTCATCTGCAGTCCCTGAGGTTTGTGGGCTCAGCCCTGCTTCTCCAATAGCGGGAGGGAGCTACCCACACCCTCTCCCTGGAGCCCACAGACGGACTGTGAGCCCCTGTCTGGGGCATGAGGGTGGGAGGGAGAGATTCAGTCTATGCAGGTGCTGATCTGGACCACAGGCGGGAGCACAGCCCCACTGTTACCTTTCATGATGGTCTGTGTAGTTTCCCAGCGCTTCCCGGCAATGAAGTGTCCTGTTTGAATGGAGCCAGTAAATCCTGACAACTTCTGATTCTTGGAAACAAAGTGCTGACAAGAGAAGCCTTTTTTTTTGTTTGTTTGTTTTTGTTTTTTTTCCCTTTATTTTATTTTATTTTACAGTTGTAGATTTACAATTTTTTGTGCTTTGGTTTCAATTACACAATGATCAGATACCCATCCCTCCACCAGTGCCCATTTTCCACCACCATGGATAATATCCCCCCACCCCCATCCCCCCATCCCCCCTGCCTCTGTGGCAGGGCAATCCCCTGTGTTCTCTCTCTCTACGTTTGGGTGTTGTGGTCTGCAAAAGAGGCATTGAGTGGCAAACATGTTCAGTCCATAGTCTACTTTCGACATGCATCTCCCCTCCTGGGAGGATCCTCCAAACATCCTTTATTTGGTGCTCCCTTCTCTATCTGAACTGCCCTTTCCTCTAGGATACCCGGCTGGCCTCTAAGTTATGGGGTAATCCTCCTGGTGCTGATCTCAGCTATTCTTGGGTATTAATCTCCTATTTTGTTACTTTATATCCCCCAGATGAATGCAATCTTTCTATGTCTATCCCTCTCTTTCTGACTCATTTCGCTTAGCATGATACTTTCCATATTGTACCACTTGTATGTAAATTTCATGACTTCATCTTTTCTAACAGCTACATAGTAAGAGAAGCCTTTTTCTACTTTGTCCAAAGGTGCTACTGGGCAGGTACAGGGCATCGTTGCCTCTTTCTGGTGCGTATTTCACCAGGAAGCAGGATTCCGCACACCTACCTCAGTGCGAAAAGCGCAAATTCCACTGCAGTGAGTGGAGCTGGGGTCCACTGTCTCCTAGCACTCTGCCGGGGTGCAGGCACCAGGGGTCCCCACCTCACTGACACGCAGCTCCCTGGCCAGGTCGAGGCCCCGAGTGAGTACCAGAGGGAGACCTGGAACCTGAGCAACCAGGAGAAGCGGCGGGCGGCGCCCATCCTCCACGGAGAAGGGAACCGGCTCTTCAAGCTGGGCCGCTACCAGGAGGCTTCGGCCAAGTACCAGGAGGCCGTCGTGTGCCTGAGGAACCTGCAGGCCAAGGTGAGCGGCGCGCCGGGGCGTGCCGGGGCGTGGCGAGGGTGAGGGGCGGGTTCGTTCGGGACCGACCCTCGCCCAACAGGAGAAGCCCTGGGAAGCGCCGTGGCTGCAGCTGGAGAGGCTGGTCAGCACCCTCGTCCTCAACTACTGCCAGTGCCTGCTGAAGGCGGAGGAGTACTACGAGGTGCTGGAGCACGCCGGCGACGTCCTCCGCCACCACCCAGGTGGGCAGGGGGCCGGGGCTCGGTCGGCCGGACCCGGCCAGGCCCGCTCTGGTCCCGAGCCGGAGCCCGGGGTTGTCTGCGTGCCGGGCGGGGGCTGCCGCGGCTGGTGCGAGCCGGCCTCCATCCTCCTGCAGGCGTCGCGAAGGCCTACTACGTGCGGGCCCGGGCGCACGCCGCGGTGTGGAACGAGGCGGAGGCCAGGGCCGACCTGGCGAAGGTGCTGGAGCTGGAGCCGTCCATGCGGAAGGCGGTGAACCGGGAGCTGGCGCTGCTGGAGACGCGCGCGCGGGAGAAGCGGGAGGAGGAGCGCCGGCGCTGCAGGGACATGCTGCGCTAGGGGTGAATTGAGGCCCTGCGGCAAGCCCGCACCCATCCCTCCGTGCCCAGGGCCTGTATCCGTCCCTCCGTGCCCGGGACCTGCGCCGGCCCCTCAGTGCTCAGAGCCTGCATCCGTCCCTCTGTGCCCAGGGCCTGTATCCTTCTCTCTATGCCTGGGGCCTGTGTCCTTCCCCCCACGCCCGGGGTCCACGCCTGTCCCTCGGTGCTCAGAGCCTGCATCCATCCCTCAGTGCCCAGGGCCTCTATCTGTCCCTCAGCACCTGGCAGCTGGCCTTCACCCACCCCTCAGTGCCTGGGCGTCTCCCTCATCTCCAAAGAGGTCCTCATCTTTTTTGTCCTGCTGGGCACTCACTGTGCATTGATCGGGTCCATCCCATCTTTCTGGGCCCTTCTTGGTCCTCTGCATCTATATCTCCCATGGCACGGCCAGTGTGTACTGACCCCTCGGTGCCCCTGCCCTTCCCACGTCTCTCCTGCCACCTCTTTGCATCCAGATCCCCACCCTGCTCTGTCCAGTGAGCCCAGCAGACTACAGGAGTGGGGAAACCAGCAGATGGTGTGGCCATGTCTGGTTCAGGAGACCAGGATTTTAGTGCCGTTTAGGAAAACAAACAAACAAACAAACAACTCAGAATTTATTTTTAAAATTGAGGCCCATGGTAGAGAACATTCATAGGGCAGGGAGAGCTGGGGAATTAAAGTGTGGTGTGACCTGCTATTTTTTTTGTCTTCTCTATTTTCTTAATTCCAATGTATTTAAATCAACATTTCCCCACCTCCAGTTCTATCCCGTGTCAAGGACAGGAGGATTTATTTAATACTTTGACAAATCCTTCATCCCTATTTTTCCTTCTCCTAATTTCAGATAGTTGTGGTTTTGATCTTTGGCTTGGTTATTTTGATAACTGCATCACTGAGGCCCATTCACTTTAGTTGTTAGGTGGAAATATCTTCCTGTGAGCTGAGAGGGCAGGGCTGGGGCTATTCCCTCTCCTAAGGTCTGATGTGCTCTTCCCTGCCAACATCTGGCTGCTAGTATCTATGTTCTGTCTGTATCTAAAATGTAGCCTCTGGGCAGAGAGACAGTACATCAGGTGACACCACTTGCCTTGCACATGGCTGGCCTGGGTTCCGTCTCTGGCACTCACCCGTGATTCCCCTGAGCACCACCAGGCCTGATCCCTGAATGCAGAGCCTGGAATAAGCCCTGAATAAGCACTGTTGGGTGTGGCCCTGAAACTGAAAAATAAAATAAAACAAACAAAGTGCAGGTTTTGTGCTCTGTTCTTGGGTGGCGTCTAGTCTCTGGCATCAACAAGCTGCATTTGCACGACCTACTGTGTGTCCCTGCAGTCCCCAGGGGAGCAGAGACTGCATTGATTTTTCTGTTCCAAACTTGTGACTGCTGGGTCACAGAATGTGGTGATTCCTGGTCTCATGTGGAACAAGTGTCTATTAGAACATTTTTCCATTTTTTCCCTCCTCTCTTCTTTAGCCCTAGTTTGAAAAGTAAGCTCGGGATTGGAGTGATAGCAGAGCGGGTAGGGCATTTGCCTTGCACGTGGCCAATCTGGGTTTGATTCCCAGCATCCCAAATGGTCTCCTGAGCACCACCAGGCGTAATTCCTGATTGCATGATCCAGGAACAACCCCTGTGCATTGCTGGGTGTGACCCAAAAAGGAAAAAAAAAAAAGAAAACAACAATAACAAAAAAGAAAAGTTAGCTCTCCAACTCTGGAGGAAAGAGGTTACTTTTTGCTCATAAAGGTTCCTCCAGGTCCATTGTGGGAGAACCGGGATGGAGAAGAAAGGAGACATTATCCGAGGCCGGTGGAGCCCCTAAGCTAGAAGTGTGGAGTAGCAGGGAATCTGGGAGCTAGCAGCAGAGGGACCTTTGCCTCCTGGTGGAGAGTTGGGTGGTGTCCAGGCAGCCGGAGGCTCTAGTGTGCCTGAGAAGCTGATCAGGAGACTGGCAGAGTCGCGGCCGAGTGTGGAGCTCTGGCCCGCAGATTGTTTGACCCAGGCTGTCCTGTCCCTTTCTCGTATGTGATGATTTGCTGTTTGCCCTGATCGTGGGGACAGAGAGGATCTCCCCTCACCCATGGCCCCCCAAAAGGATACTCAAAGGCACCCAGGACTCTGCTCAGGCCTGTACAAAGCAGCCGTCGAAAGTCTCCCCTCTGGAGGCCCCTACATGTTTGCAAGCCCAAGGGGAAAGAGCAAGGCAGGGAACAGGCCTCATGTGGAGTGTGGTCCTGTGGCTTCGTGCTTGGGGAGGTGCTACTGTGCCCGACTGCAGAAATCACTAAGGACAGTCTGTCTGGAAGGCCCAGAAGTTCCTTCTTACCTGCCAAGCCAATTGATAAAAATCAAACCAGAGTTCGATTTAGGATGTACTCTGTCAGCCTTCCTCTAGCCTTGCTGCCTCCTGTCTTTCTGTTTCCATTCCCTCCCTCCCTCCCTCCTTCCCTCCCTCCTTCCCTCCCTCCCTCCCTCCCTTCCTTCCTTCCTTCCTTCCTTCCTTCTTTCCTTCCTCTTTCCTTCCCCTCCCTTTTTTCTCCTTCCTTCCTTCCTTCCTTCCTTCCTTCCTTCCTTCCTTCCTTCCTTCCTTCTTTCTTTCTTTATGCTACAGAAATCACAGAGAGTGGCTTTCTTGGGCCATACCCAGGTCTTGCACCTCTGCACTGTGATTTTTCAGTCTTTTTAAGAAGTAGTTCATGGAGTTTTTTCCCTGCTAGGGGTGTGTGTGTGTGTGTGTGTGTGTGTGTGTGTGTGTGTGTGTGTGTGTGAGAGAGAGAGAGAGAGAGAGAGATAAAAAGGGAGAGGGAGAGGGAGAGGATATGGCCCCCTCATCCACAGGCAGAGGAATGTGAACAACAAACCATTGTATCTCCTGCTCTTTTCAGCAGTGCACAGTAAATGGGGGCATGTGGACAGGGAGCTGACTCAGAACCCCACAGCCAGAATACAGGGCTCTGCTCCACTTCATAGCTTCCTAGTGGGCCCTGATAACAACCCCAGGAGGCTTGACTGATCTGGGCAGCAGAGGTGATGAGTTTCTCTTTCCATCCAATCCATGCTATTGAGCGGCCAGCAGGGGGCAGCAGAGAACAAGTAAATTGTGGGGTTCTGCTGTTCTGGAGAAAGCTTTGGATCTGCCCTCCACAAGTCTTGACCATTTACTCCTCCGGATTGCTAGGTCACTGCTGGTGACAGGTCTTTAGAACACGGAATCAGAGAACCAGTGGACTGGGGTGTCAGTTCCTTGTACAGAGCGGGAGCAGAGGCCAGTCGCGTTCTAGCACTGTAGCACTGTCATCCCGTTGTTCATCAATTTGCTCGAGCGGGCCCAGTAATGTCTCCATTGTGAGACTTGTTGTTACTGTGTTTGCCATATTGAATATATCATGGGTAGCTTGCCAGGCTTTGCCGTGCGGGTGAGATACTCTCTCTCGGTAGATACTACGCTTGGTAGCTTGCCGGGCTCTCTGAGAGGGATGGAGGAATTGAACCTGGCTCGGCCAGGCCAGCCGCATGCAAGGCAAATGCCTTACCTCTGTGCTATCACTCCAGCCCCTCATCTGTGTGGTCTAAGGTGCCAGACTCAAGTTCTCTCTTTCCTAAATAAAATTATTTCACTTCGCTAAAAAAAAGTAGGATTGGGACGACTGTGGCCCAGGTTTAATCCCTGGTACCACAAGGTCCCCTGAGCACTGCTGGGAGCAAGCAGTGAGTCAGGAGTAGCTCCAGGACACCGCCAGGTGTGGTTCAAAGGAACCTAAATCAACCAATCAATTAATTAATACTAAAAAATCCTGCTAAGTATCTTGACTCATCTAGCATTTTTTATTTCACTGCTAACTGTGAGGTCCTCAATCTGGTTCATGTTCCCATGCTTGGGAATCCAACCCAGGAGCTCAAACATATAAGGCATGTACTAGGCCCCTTGAAACTAAGTTGCAGTGGCCAGAGCAATAGTAAGGTGGATAGGACATTTGCCGTTCACATGGCTAGTCCGAAAGTAGTGCGTGGTTGTAAGGTCAACCTCAAGTCAACGTGCAGCAACATGTAAACTAAACTCCTGGACTCCTGGATGTACTTGGATTTACCTAACTCTCTCACTACTGCACTTGAATAGTCACGTTCTAGAGCCACTTCGAATCCTGTAATGTGTGTTATGGGGAAAACTGCTTCTGAAACCCGAGTCAGCCTGAAGGTACGGAGGTCTTTGATACCACAGACTCATCTCAGGAGCCCCAGGAAACGATTGAGATGCAGAATTCCAGGCCTAGAGCAAGGGGGCTTCCAGAGATGGTGGGTGGCTGGACTTCCCCGGGAAGATGGCTCCACCCCCTGGAACAGAGGTTACAGAAAGGCTTCAAAAGGCCATCAGCTGCTCTCAGTTCTCCCCCTTGGCTTTTTGGGAAAAGTGTCTAAACTCCTCCTTCCTACCTTTTGGGAAAAGTGTCTAAACTAACTTTTGCAGAAGAAGAGGCGCTATTTTGTGTTTCCTGCACACATGGTACCACATTAAGGTTAGGTCTGACTTTTCTGCAAAAGACAGCTCTCTGCTCCAGTCTTAGTCCATGGCTTCTAGAGAAATTGGTGGTGGGAGTCAATTCTCATGCCGTGCAGAGCCTGTGGACTCCAGGCACAGCCAAGAGCTGCTGTGTGGTGCTGGTGGGACCTGACTGTGCCACCCAGAGGCTCATAGCAGGTTCTCTTTCTTTAAAAAATATAATTAAATAAACAAAAACAAATAAACACTGTCCTCCAGTTGTTCATCGATTTGCCCGAGCAGGCACCAGTAACGTCTCACAACAAGTTGTGAGACTTGTTGTTACTGTTTTTGGCATATTGAATATGTCATGCGTAGCTTGCCAGGCTTTGCCTTGCGGGCGAGATATTCTCGGTAGCTTGCCAGGCTCTGAGAGGGGCGGAGGAATCGAACCCAGCTCAGCCAGGCTTGCTGTGTGCAAGGCAAATGCCCAACTGCT